TGTTTGTGCATGTGTAAACTCAAATTGGGAATGGGTTCAAGTTCACAATGGAATCTTTAAGCTGTTGGGTCATCTTGTAGATGTTGACAGAGTCAACTAGATAAGTAAACAATGTGACCTGCTGTTGTTCCTATCATATGCAGTATATTAAATCGGTTCCATTTCAGTTTGGGGTCAAGGGGTTTAACAATTAAAAGACAATGCCTCTCTCAGAGCCACACTGCTGGCGTGACTAAAAATATATTGTTGAAAAAGACCAACATTCTTTGTGGGACAATGAATGAGAGCAACTAGGATGGCTTGAATACTTCTCATTAGTCATCTACTTATCCTGCCACTTGAGAGAAGTGAAAAATACGCTCAAAATGAGTGTTTTTAGGAAATGATTATATGCTCGTTACAATCCCTCTTATTCAAGAGACTGCTTTAACAAAAGACATATCCTTTATCCTTTTAATAGAGACAACTGGAATGTGATGACCGAGCGTGACATCAGAGTAACTTGCTTGTGTTAGAGCAGGGATGTGGTTTCACAGCGTATACATCTCTTCCTTCCAAATATGAAAAACATTACCACATTAATAACAGCCTAGGCTTGGGGATGGCGATTCCTCAAACCCCAAAATCTTGTATTCACTGGTAACCATGGTAGAAAATAGCCATGAATCCATTTTTGGTCAAGTTATTTTTTCAGTGGCATTACCATTCCTGCATGCATGATACACCAAGACCAGCATTCACCCATAATGAGCTCTGGAACATGATTGTTTGAACAGCTTCTGGTGAAATTCAGGAGGTCTCAAAGGCAGGCGTCCAAGTCAAAAGGCAACAATGGTCCCTTTTCATCCAGGTAGCTTTATCCTGACCTGAACTTGTGCTGCTGTGTCTCCTCTTTCCAAGGGATAGCAATAACTGGAGTAATAACCCAGATATTAATAGCTATGAAAATATGAGCACTGTAGGAGTCACCATAGTGAAATTACTACCAGAGTGAGACTTTGAATGTTGGCTGCCGGAGTAAAAACACTGAAACTCACATCTCACCAGATGAGTCACTCTTTGATGTGCAGTGATGTACTGTCTGAAAAACATTTTCTCTGGTCATCATTTACTGCTGTAAAATGTCAAATCATAACTTGGGCTAATTATTTGTGCTTCAAAGACACTAAACACCCCAAAAGAGCTTTTTGTAGATTAATAAAAATGACACGCTCCATGAAACAATTAAAAATCTTCAGACTGAAACTTCATCTTGATCTTGAAAGCAAACAGACAATTATCACTGGATCACTCTTTCTGTGCTGAAGCTTAATTCTATCACTCTGTAGGAGTTAATTAGTTGCTATTGAACTTTCTAATGAATTAAACTGTATAAATCCTTGCAGGATCATAGTCAGAATGGTGTTGAATTGCATCCAACAAGCTGCTGTCTTGGTTAATCCAGTAGTGTACTTACATGATTAAACTCCTAGGATATATTTCAATCTTGTTGAGGTAAAAACAGTAATTAAAAGGGACACTATAAAGCTTATTTTGACCTGCTGTTGTTCCCTGTTGAATCCACTTGACATTTGAGTCTTATCAGTCAAATACAAAGTCTAAATGTCTTTTCAATCTGTCCTCAGGAGACTCTACATGCAGAAAAAAAACCTTTTTTGGATTGGTTTGGTGAAACACATGATCCCTCTCTGTTTTTGCCATTCTTCTGTAAATTGGAGGACAATAAGTCTTGTGACTAGATTTGAAGAATTGTTTACTGTTGCAACTCTTAGTTTGCTATATAAACACCTACTGTACAACAGTGTTACTAGTAAAGTGCTACTCAATATAGGCTCACAGTGTTTTTTTGCAAATCATGCAAATCAGGCATATCAAGTTATGTCATGTTAACCATAAACACTTATGAGGTCTGCTCTAAGGTCTCCTCTAAGTACAAGCCTTTCCCAAGAATATTCCCAGAGTTCTCTCTTTGGAAGTTTGGAGCAGTTTTGAATCATGGGTCTGACCTAGAAGTCTTTAACTTTAAGATCTTTCCTTCTGTGATTGTGAGACTTTGACCCAGAAGTCCATGCTGGAGGTTGGCCTTGGTCTGCTTTTGCTATAAAGTGGTGTCAAGTGTCTTTCCTTTGGGGATTTCTCTTTTGCCCGCTGCTCTCCCTGTGGTTTTCCACTTGGAATTGCATAGTTGTTTAAATTCTTTGTTGACCCATTGTATTTTTTGAGGCTTTTCCAGGAATTTGATTAGTTTAGGATACAAAAAATGGCAATGAATGTCTGAAATAGGCAAACTTAGGTGAATATAGGAAAGTCAAAACAAAGTAGGACAATTGATCCAAGCAAACAACGACAGTATGCATGCTGAGAAGACTGTGACTTTAGAGTGGAGAGGCCTGACCTTAAATCTCATTTGAACATTGCTAGTGAACAATAAAGTATCAATTCCAGACTGCCCAAACAAAACAAAAATAAAGCATTTAATGGCTTGTTAGCAATACGCTTTTTTGAAGTGAATGTTTAGACAATCATATCAACATTAATCTTTTTGTAGTTGTTTTCTTTTCCATTACCTACTCCAGTCCCTCGTGCCATCTGATCAAACTGTAAGGCTGCATGATTCTTGAGCAGATTTTGTGGGCTTTTAACTATATTCTTGAGCCACTGAATGTGTCACTCATCAAGTCAGCACTGTTTCAAGTTTTGCTGGAAACGTGGAGAGACAACTGACAGCACTCTGTAAATCATAAATGACTGCACTAACAATACGCTATCATCAAATGTTCATTGACACTATAGCTCACACATTGTGGAAACTTACTTTAGTCCTTTTCTTCTGCCCAGGATGTGACATCTCCTCTGATGTAAGTTTATCTCTATAGAATTTAGTTTATTTGAATTTTAAAAATAAGTAAAAAAAAAAAACAATTATTAGGACATTTGACGTTTTTGTATGAGAATAGTTTATGAAAACATTCTATAAAGTATGTAGAGAGGGTGCTTGGGGCATTCTGGTGGTGTTATGTTCTCTTTTTTGTTATGTTAAAACCTGAGGCAATTTAACATTGAACCTTGTGACTCCAGTACAGTGTTTAATTCTAAGATTAGTGGGACACTTATTCTAAACATATATGTACATACATATCATGTATATACATGATAAACATCTCACAAACCCTCAAGGACTTTAAGGAGATGGTCATGAATTAAAAAAAGATGGCTTTAACCTCCTTTTTGTTTCCAACAAAGAGTTCTTATCTCTGACATTCATGTGAGTTATACCCCCCTAAAGGCCTTTATACCCTCCATCAGTCCTGAAGTAAACACGCTGGACAACATAATATGCTCCATCACACCAAGTCATCTAAAATGTTTCAGTGACATTTATTAGACCATGTTGACCCGGTGCAGGAAACCTACTGTGAAGTAAAGCGCAGGAGTGACTTTTCTCTAACACTACATCATGTGAAAAGAATGTCCAGCACTTAACGGATATTAAAGGAACTCTAAATCCTATGGTGGTCTTTGATGACGAAATTCTTGTGATTTGATTTTATAAATCAGACTGCATTTAGGAATTTTTTTTGTTTTTTACCCTAGAGGTTCCATCAAAGGGTTGTCTTTCAGCGGTGACTGTCTGTGTCCACCTTCTACAGTACTAGTGTGACAAATGCTAGTGATATCCATGATGTAATCTACAGACTGTCATAGTTCTCAGATAACAAAACCTACTGACCTTGATTATCTAACTTTTTTTTAGCACTACCATGACGCAAATGATCCAACTGTGATCCTAAAAAACCATCTGACCAATCATCCCTATATAGAATACCCACATTCATTTTACGTCAGTATAGTTAATTTGTTTGTCCCTGACTTAATATCTAGTGCAACCGAAAATAAACTAAAAATCAATACTAGAGGCCTTTATACAGTGAGTGTACATCTGCTAATTCTGTATTGTGTAACAACTGGAAACAACCACCAATCCTGTAGCCTGAACATAAAACACTGAAGCGATTTGTTCAATTTAATTCATGATGCAGCCAAACATTGTTGGGTTTGGCTTGAAATGGATTAAATTGTTTGCAACATAACACAGTTACTATGGTGAGTTTGCTTACTTGGATCTTAAAACATAAATATTGTCTAATATATATAAAGACAAGATAACAGGACTTTAAAGCTGATCCCTCTGATTATGTCTTTACTTCTATTTAAAGATCAGATATCTGAATAATCAATAACGATTCCTTTAGTGTCAGTTGTACTATGTGTTAGCATTTGTTTGCATGCTATCATGCTACACTGAAGGTAAACATGGTCCTGGGCTAAGCTGCTTAACATCCCAATGTTAGCATTGTCATTGACAGCTGGTTAGTATTGAGCCTTTGTACATCCTCACATAGCAGCTAGCATGTTGGAAGATCTCTTTTCTTGTTCATTTAGCCTTGACCATGAGGCTTTTTCTTACTTTGACCCAGTAGATTAAGTTACTGACCTGTATACAGGCCAGTGGCTCAAGCTGGTGGTGGAGCTGGAGATCGAACCCTGACCTTCTGGTTAAGAGACGACTCTACCACTGATCCACAGCCGCCCCAAATATGTATACAATGCAATATATTCTCGAATGCAAAATATTGCTTAGTGGATATGCGTTTGTATCTTTTTTATGTGACTGGTAGAATTGCTACCAGGTGTGACTGTGAGGAACTGATAATGAATTTGAAGTCTGGTGCTGCTTCACATAATTTTACATGCTTACAATAGTAAACTTTCCTGTATAAATGCATGTTTAAAATCTTCCAGGTCTACTCATGTGTTCTAATAGGGTCACTGTTGTTAACAGTCACTGTCACCCTGCCAGAATAATATACCAAGCAAAGCCTAATCCTTAAAGTTGTTCATCCCCAGTTAATTGAGTATATTATAGCCTCTGTACAGCATATGTTCATATCAGTAATCATTTTAGGCAGATCTAACTTTGTGAATTTCATCTTTTGCAGGTTATTAGTTGGTGCTCCGTATGAAATGAACGGCCCTTACCAGACGGGGGATGTTTATAAATGTTCACTGAGCAGAAGAACCAATGGCAATGGCTGCTCCAAGCTCAACTTAGGTACAGTAACATAAGATTTTTACCATATATTACAAGACATACTATATAAAGCCACAGTGACATCTTAAATATGTAACATCTGGATGGTTGTGTATTCATGTATTGTATCTGTGTTTATCTGTATACATGCTTTTCTGCATCTTTCTCAGTAAGCATCATGTTGGCATGTGCTCGACAGAAGTGTGGGTACCATACCAATCATTCCAGATTTTACTATTTTCTTGAATCGTTTATGTACATTTCCACACATGTGTTACCACACGTCCCACCGCATGCTTCTTCATACTGGTCGCACATGTGTTGTGCTGGTTAAAAGTCTTGTCAAGTGAACGTTTAGATCCGAGGATGTAGACAGCCATTAGTGCTGCCCAGACAGTAATAACAAACCATAGTCCCAGATGGTAGAAATTCTGCTTGGTGTCTGAAGAGTATCGCATGTTTTTAGGTAAATTTGAGTCTGCACATCCAAGACCCTCTCAGTGAGTTTTTTTTCCCTTAAGGAAGGATATCTCTGACCAACGTATCGGAGAGAAAGGACAAGATGAGGCTGGGAATGACGCTGACAGCTAACCCTAAAGACAACAGCTTTGTGGTGAGAATGAAGAAAAAACTCAGTGGATTCTTTTTCTTGAAATAAAACATACCATCATGGTCTGTTGCTGCAATACATTTAATAAAAAAGCAATGGTCATAATGGAAAGAAAGAAAACAAACCCACAAGATTGGCTTTTGATTACACGGTTGTCATGCCGCAGCTCTCCCCGTGCAAGTTATTTGAGAGCATGAACCAAACTTTTTTAGCAGTCGATTATGTTGCTCGTATAAATGCTTTCTTTTGTGTTTCAGGCCTGTGGGCCTCTCTGGTCTTATGAGTGTGGCAGCTCTTACTACAGCACGGGTATATGCTCCAGAGTCAACGCCAGTTTCAAGTTCTCCAGAACAATTGCGCCTGCCTTTCAGAGTAAGCCAGAAAGTATCTTTCCTGTTTTGCCATCATCCATGGACTGTTTTTGTTCACCTCAGGACAACTGTTTTCTCTATATGTGCTATGATGATTAAGTCTTACCTTTATATGTTTTTGCAGGATGTGAGACCTATATGGACATAGTGATCGTGCTGGATGGCTCAAATTCCATCTACCCCTGGTATGAAGTGCAGGCTTTTCTCATCAACATTCTGCAGAAGTTCTATATTGGACCAGGTCAAATACAGGTGTGTAAGAAAGGATGGAATACAAAAAAAGGATGGATTGGTAAATCAGTAATATCTGATACATTTTTAATACCAGACCTCATTTACACAAAAATCTTCCTTTTTCCTTTTTTCTGTTTCATGGTTATTTTGCCTCTGTTATGTCCATGTACACTTTTTGTGAGCTAATGTGCAAGAAAGTTTTATATTCCGTAATAGTAAGTAGTCATTTACAAGAACATAGAGCTTGTGATGATCATTGTCATTGCGCCTTTGGACAGGTTGGAGTTGTTCAGTACGGTGAGAAGGTTGTCCATGAATTCAAACTCAGTGACTACAAATCTGTTGAGGAAGTGGTGAAAAGAGCTCGCAATATCAACCAACGAGGGGGAGAGGAGACCAACACAGCTCTTGGCATCAACACAGCACGGTACTGTATCTCTATCATTTTGTGTACACAACACTACTTTACTTTCTCTCGACTCTCAAGTTTATCTTATTGAATAAAGCAAACTCTATCCCACAGCTCACAAGCTTTCAAACAAGGCGGTCGGCGGGGTGCCAAGAAGGTCATGATAGTGATAACGGACGGAGAGTCACACGATAGTGCCGATCTCCAGCAGGCCATCGAGGACAGTGAGAAGGATGGCATCACTCGTTATGCAATTGCTGTGAGTCTGCTAGAACTATAATTCACCTGGTTTGGATTGCTTTCTCTTTAGGAGTTCTAACTCAGTTTTCTGATGGCTAATAAATTTCCACACCATAAACAGTAATAAGGTGACCTCATGGAGTTCAGTTAAAGCAGATCCCTCAAGAGCTGAGTAAAGCTTGGTGCCAAAAACTCCTCAGAGCATTTGGAAAGCTCTAAACATAAGCTCAGTGGAAGTGCAGTTAAAGGTGTAAATGATATCCTCCAAACCACAGGGTTGCCACCGCCAATACAGCCAATGGTAAACTTAATTCCATCAAATGGCTTACCGTGGCATGGACATCTAAGTCTGAAGTCATTTGGTACACAACCAACTGGAATTGGGGACAGCAATGGCATTTGCATAGAAAACCTTAATCCTCTGAAACCCTCTCAAAGGACTTTTAATTTAAAACTGTTATTGGTCCATTAAAATTGGACATATTTATAACATTGGCATTGGTTTCTGATCTTATCTCAACAGGTCCTTGGCTACTACAACCGCAGAGGAATCAACCCTGAAGCCTTTCTCAATGAAATAAAATACATCGCCAGCGACCCTGATGACAAACACTTCTTTAATGTGACCGATGAGTCAGCACTGAAAGATATTGTGGACGCACTTGGGGAACGCATCTTCAGTTTGGAAGGTTTTGCGAGATTTTTATTTGAACATTACATTGCATTCAATTGGCAGTGCTTTTAGAAAGCTATGCTTGTAAAAGTTGGAATTGCATCGCTCTTAGCGACTAAAATGGCTTAATGCTGAATCAGTTTTGTACAGCATATACAGTGTACTGTAGGTCCATAGACTTAGCACCACAGACTCACTAAGCAATGTACTGCCGCAAAAAACATAACAGAAACTCTACATTAAGTGATTGTTTAAATATTTTAACTTGACACAATGGTTCTGTGAACTGATATAGCCTTAGAAAAAGACATTTAAAAAAAGTCACAAATCCATTATGGACACTTCCTAAGGATCATTAGATCACCCAAATTATTAATTGCATAGAGATAGTTGGATAGGCTAAGCATATTGAATATTTCCATGAAGACTATAGAAAGAAAGTATTGTGATAAAAGCAATAACTTTCTAATGCTTCAAGACTTAACTATAGATCAGATTTAAACATTTACCAATTCAGTATACATGCAACTACTTATTGCAGCAAAAATAAAATTGGACATCTGCTTAAAGATATCAATGCCATGCAAGTTTAATTTGGTTTGGTTGGTAGCTTTAATTTATTGGTGTTACAGTGGTTCAGGCTGTAAAAGACTAACTTGTTTACACAGGAACCAGTAAGAATGGGACAGCGTTTGGCCTCCAGATGTCTCAGGCTGGATTTTCTGCACATAACGTTGAGGTGAGTCTGACGTCTGCTACCTCGTAGCCTTTACCATCTGTCACATTATCGAATAACACATATTGTCTCAATTTCTGGTGCATCATAACTCCTTCACACAACCTGCCATTTATCACTTTCCAATCCCCCATGAGGGGCCTGCTGTGTGGCCCCAAAGGCTTAGGTCATCCTGTTTTAGGGGCCCCTGACAGAGGAGACAGGTCGTTTTCCACTTCAGCCATGCAGTGATGAGTAATAAGACACCGTTTTTTCCCACGGGAAACATATCAGTGGGAAGCTGAGATGAAATTGAGACAGTTCTGCTGCAGAATGGGTTGTTTTTCCTCTGAGCTTTAATAAATTTATCTGAGAGCAGAAAATTGCAGATGTGCTGGCTAAGGATGACGATGCTGGAGAAGGAAGACAAGACACACGTCCTCTACTGTACCGGCTTTTCACCTCAGAAGGGATTTTCATTTGTCTTTTACTGGCTCTGTCCAGGAAGTATGCTAATGCAACTGCTTTGATTTTCCAATTCCACCTCACAGTTTGATTTGTCAAGGGAGGAATAAATACATCCCATTGAGAACGAAAAAAATCAGGATACGCAGCTGGGTGGCTGCAATGGTTGGAAATTCTGTCCACAGGGCCAGATTGCAGAGATGCTCGACGACATCAACTTGGGTGTCAAGAGGAGGATATATTATTGGAAAGAATGCCGACTTTTTAGGGAGAAAAAAGTTCCTGAAGCCTAGATGGCTTTGGCGAAGGTGATGTGTGCCAACTGTGAAGGCTGCTCATTTCATATACTGTATCATAGATTTGCGTCCATAGCAGTCCCTCAGTCTGCTGTTTGCATCTTTCAGTACAACTGGAAAAGTAGAAAAACCGGCTGTCAAATTTTCAAGCTCTGTTTGTTGGATTCAGCACTTTAAACCTTTCAAAATTATTATACCTTATGAACCATTATGCAGGAAATACAGTCAATACTTCTGTGTTTATGTGAGTTAGAAACTTCATCTATATACTCTTGTGTATAATTGTCAAAAAGTTGAACTACTCTGTAAAGAGTTGCCATCCCATCCAATGTCACGAACATGTCCATACATGCAACAGCAGCAGAAATGGGTCATTGGATTGTAACATTGAACTGTTTTGGGGTTTCGTTCATTTGCCATGGAGACCATTTCGACCATAACAGAGTTGACCACACTGGCATTATGCTGCTGTCAGAGAGTGACGTTGTGCAAGTGGGGGTGAGCACGCAATTCCATCCTTCATGGAGGAATAGGAAGCCTTCCAACATATGCTTAAACACTGGAAAATGTGTTGTCTGCATATTGTGTTTAGCAAGAAAAAAATTGCACTCATTAAGTAAAGGAACCCTATAATTATAGTGTCACTGATACACGGTACGGTGAACCATGGAACATAGAAAGCCCCCCCCCTCTCTTCCTCTGTGTCTACAGCTAGTAACACTGGCCAGATTTGTTTCTTTGTTGGAGGACAATTTAAAAATACAAACCACTCAAGATAAAGAAGTGACTTGATAATGGGGTTAAGAGACTTAATTGTTTTCCTTGCACACTGTGATTCGTGATTGTGTGAAAATTAACTGCGTTTGTGCCTAAAGATGAAGTAGTTGGTAATTTGTCAAGAATTCTGTTACAGTTGTAAGTTTCTGGAGAGAAGTATTGAGGCAGACTTTGTTCTGTGTCTCTTATTGCATTGTTTCAGAATAGTTAATATACAGTATATGCCTGAACATTATAGTCACAGTATATTACAGTATATTGTGGCTATGGATTATGTTCTTTTATGTATTCACAATAAATGACAAGCCGAATGCATAAACAACTAAATGAACCCTGGATCAGGAACATGCCTCATATATTCTATAAATAAATGTTTGAATATATTTCTCCTAAGCTGGGGGAAGGTTGACTGTTATGTTTAACAACAAGTAAACAAAGAAGGGGCACTTGTCATTAAACTGAACAAGAACATTTAAATTTCAACATCATGTTAATGCCAAGGTCTGTTCCACTTTCTCATGCTAACTTCCTTTAATTCTCAAGTTTGAGCATCCTGTCTGTGCTATTTAGAGTCAAATTGCTTTAGCTCAGTGGAGAACCTGGGAGACAAACAAATGAGTATAATTTTGTTTCCACACCCATTTTTACTGGTGATGCTGTGAACATTTACTGACAAAAGGATATACTGTACAGTGATTGCATGGAGATTGAGGACCTTGAAAATCTGAAAAGGTTGCTTAGAACAGTGACACAACCCCAACACTATTCCTCTGCTTTACCCCAAGTTGTTGAGCTCTGTTGATTTGGATAAAAAAACGTCTGCTAAGTGAATTGTAGAATTGATTGGTTGTGTCTTTTCAGAATAGAGCTACATATGTTAGGGACACCATCTTTACCTGGAACATGGGAAACAAATTACTACATCATGTTTTCAAGCTTTAAACAATTTAAAAAAACATCTACACTTTCTCTTAAACATTTAGACAAGGGGTTTAATTGGTATTTGGACAGGTATGTATTTCCAAAATGCTTAAGTTGTTTACGTAGTCCTTTGAACCTACATTAACTAGTATATTCTAACAAATTTGAATTGTTTGCGTGATCATTTGTGAAGATATTGGTTTCTTCCTTGCAGCTGTAACCATTTTCCATGTAACCGCCCTTTGTTCTCAAGAATGATGGGAAATGTTTGAAACCACTCTGTTTGGACTCTATATCTGAAAAATGACCATTTTCCAGTTTTAGTGTCAATAAGGGGTTAATGCATTACTGAAGAAGGTCTGGAATGATATGTGAGCCGAAAGTTGATGTCTTTCAAAGTGTCCCAAAACTGTGTCAAAAATCTGATGAGCTCAGTCATCTATCCTCCTCAACATAAACTACCTGTTTCCATTTGTCTGCTACATGATCTTTCTTAGTGTTACATACACACAAACATACATCTGATGTTCTGTTTGATTAAGAGAAAAAGGGGTACATTTAATTAAATTAAATAAAGTTCATATCCTTTACAAGTAATTCACCAATGTAGTTGAAACATCCTTTGTGTTTTTTGTTTATCACTGTTACCAAGATTTATTTTCATTTATTTTTATTGAAGGTTTTTTTAAATTTAAAACAGAAACAGGCAATGGGAAAAAAAAATAATACAAGGAAAAACACTTAACATAAATTATTCAGAAGCTATATGTTCCCAAGCCTGCCTGCAAGTTCCCACCCTCACGCACGTTCCCAGTTTCGTACATACATATATCCACACAAACCTATACACATATACATACATATCAATCAATAATAATTGATTAATAAAGTAATGATAACAAATCAAAAAAAAACAACAACAACAAAAATGAAGAATACAATTCATCCATCCATGTTGTCCTAAAATATGTTCATGTTGTCAAAAATAGATTATGGACTGACAAGCCCCTTATTGGTGCCATAGATAACATAGGACCACATGCAAAATATTCACAAATATTTAAAAGGGTTGGTCTGGTGTAAACCTCCCTGTGACATGCTATGTTGTCAATGTTCCACATTTAAAGAGCGATTGTTTTAGACAATACAGTATTTTATAAATTCCTGCCTGTTTATATATTTCTCTAAATACATTCATATTCACATATTCTGTATATACATGCACTTACTCCCATACATATACCCAAACTCACACATACACATACTCAAAGTGCACATATATATACATACATACACATGTGACGTCCATATACATACATTATTATTATCATATTCCCCTTTTCTTTTTTCTTCTTCTATTTTTCTTTTTTTTCCCATTTATGACCCAAGAACAGTTGTTCAATCGCAGTTCAGAGTCAGTAACAAGTCATATCATGAAAGAGAGAAAAGGGCCCCAGATTGTGTCATATTTGTGCACAGCGTCTATGTTGCTGTAAATGACTCTTTCCAGTTTAGCTATTTTTCATATAAGTGCATTATACCACTGTTACCAAGATTACATTTCACCACAAGCAGAGTTACATCATAAAGTGAAAGTAAGGTGATCCAAACACACAGGCTTTGCTCCAAAATGGTGGTTACAGCTTTATTACATTCCATCAGTGCATCTCTATCATATAAAGGGTTGTGTGAATGTGGTTTTGTGGATCAGTGCATGTGCTGCACAGGCAGTAGGACCAGACCATTGTCTAGTACTGTGCTTTTTAAAGATTCACTATACTGCACCTCCTTTACAGGATGGGATTGTGGTGGGTGCTGTTGGGGCCTACGACTGGAACGGAGCGGTGCTGAAGGAAACAAGACAGGGGAAGGTGGTCCCTCCAAAGTCTTCATATGCAGAGGAGTTTCCTGAAGAGCTGAAAAACCACGGTGCCTACCTGGGTGAGTAAAGATTGGTAGTTTTTGTAACGCAAAAAGAAATGCAGAGAAGTTGTTGTGATATAGGTAAACATAGATAAAGGCTTTAACACATTTAAAGGAATCATCCCTTTAGCCACCAGTCTTCATCTTTGTTCACCTCTTTCTGTCGTGTCTTGTTAAAAGAACTGCGGTTTAACACCTTCTATCCTAGCAGTAACCCGTCACTACAGAGTGTACCCACTGCTTCAGCGCTTCACATCACATCCATCCCCTTCTCACTCCCACACCACAGACCTCTGCTTTTACCATCAGTGGTTTGTCTCCAGGCTTATCCAACGGGCGGCCAATGAAAGTCATTCTAGACTCAATAGTAATATGAGGTGGAAGCATAATTTTGGATGGGCAAGGAGAAAGTATAAGCTGGGGAAAAAAGGGCATGAAGACATAGATGAAAGTGGAAAAGTACGAGGGGAGCAAGTGGAATTTTTAATGGAAGAAGATGAAATTGAAGACATAGAAGAAGAAATGTGAGAAACCTGAGAAACCAGCACGTCCAGTACTGTGTAACTGAAAGCTGGTCTCAGAGCTTCAACTTCTCAAATTGTAATGTTTTACAATTTTCCTTGAGTCATAGATCCCTGCTCTGAAATTCAAATAGTCAGGCCAATCACTCTTAGCACACTCAATCAGTAGAACAAGGCATACTGCTGGTTTTATGAGGACACATTTGTCCATTAAGCCACCAGTTCACATCATTTGCAGAACTATAATATATAAAATAAATAGGGTGAATATGAAATAGATAATTACCTTAATATTTTAATGAAATATTGTAATCATAAACAACATTGTACCTGTTTTTCCGTAATAAAGGTGGGAAAGACAAACATCTTGATCTGCTTTTTTCAGTAGTATGTTGTCTCTTATTTGTTATACATATCCAGGTTACACTGTGACATCTGTGGTGTCAGCCAGAAATGGTCGTCTACTTGTTTCGGGCGCTCCCCGATTCAACCACACCGGCAAAGTCATCATCTTCACTCTGACGAACTCGGGTAACCTCGCCATCCTGCACTCCCTTAAAGGACAGCAGGTACTACTACACAGCATTCATCCTTAAAACCTATAGCACTTAACAAACATTTGCTATCTGCTGTAAAAGACTGTTTTAATGTCATTGTATGTGTCTTAAGGATTTTTTTGAAAACTGCTTGCGAACTTGAAAAGCGTTAACATTGTTTATTAAAATGCTGCAAGGCAAGACGGCTTTATTTTACAGCAAGAGAGAGTGGGGAATGACATTCAGGTAAAGAACCACAGGCCAGACCAGAATCTGGGCCGCCTGCATGGAGGACTACAGCCTCCTTACATTTGCCTGGCACTATCCACTAGGCTACTGGCGCCCCTAATAGATCTTTTTCTTACTTGTGTTTTTATTTTTAGTCATAAAGATAAGAAAAGCTGGAAAACTACCATTATTATGCAATATTTGTCATTGGATGAAATTTTACACATTTTAAGGAGGGCTGCACGTGATGTAGTGGTTAGCGCTGTCCTCTAACACCAAGAAGATTCCCATTTTGAACTTCAGGACCTTTCTGTGTGTGTTTCTCCCATTGCAATGCATGGACTTTCTTCCACAGTGCAAAGACATGCTTGTTAGGTTAATTGGTGACTCTAAATTCTCCGTAGGTGTGACTGAAGTGTTACTGGTTGTCTGTCTCTGTCAGCCCTGAGATTTCCGGCGAACAGTACTGGGTGTACCCCGCCTCTCGCCCAATGTCAGCTGGGATAAGCTCCAGCCCTCCAAATGGGATAAACTGTAAAGATAATAGATGTATTGATGGACATGTTTTATTGAATTGCATTTAGAAACATAAACTTTACAGAAAAACAAATGTGCTGCACTACTACAGTCCAAATGTCTTATATACTGTATAACATACTGCATTGATATGCAAGTGGCACAAAGAAAAACTCAGTGCATGTTTCACAAGTACCATAAAGTACGGTGTTATAAAACAAAAGCACTTTTGCACTTTAAGTGTACATCGAATAATCTGTTTGGATTGAATCCTTACAATCTGAGTCGCATTAGGTTTAAAATGATCCATCACTTCAAAGGGATGTGTCTCTGTGTGTTAATGACCACTACACTCCTAACTGGCAGCTCTTCACAGGCTGCAGGTCTGAAGTGATCCTGCAGCAGCTTACATTGTACCAGTTGTCAGCAGCAGTTCATCCAGAACAGCAGATGTTTTTTTTTCAAAAAATATTTCTTAAGAAAAAAAAAAGGTTTTTTATTAGCAGATGTTTTAAATCTGAAAACCAAACCATTCACTCCACTGACTGATCCAGATTAGCGCTCTGTGAAGCTCACGCAGTCTTAGCATTCAAAAAGGCATTAGGCGTCTGACCACTGACTTTGAAATAACACATGCCTTCACTTGCTTACAGTACAATATTTATGTTCAAACTCCATCCCCTCTGGATAATCAGTAAATCAGTGAACCTGAAAAACATCTGCCTCAACCAACAGTGGAGGAGCCAAGAATTTCAGCTTCAACAATAATTATTTTCCAAAAGGATTAAAGCTGATAAATAACAATGTTTTTAAATGATTTGCATATATGTCTTCTTCAGATCGGCTCCTACTATGGCAGTGAGATTGCACCTGTGGATATCGATGGAGACGGGATTACAGACAACCTTTTGGTGGCAGCACCCATGTTCTTTAGTGGAGGCTTGGAGAAGGGGAAAGTCTACATCTACAGAGTCACAGAGCTGGTGAGTAAAAATCTGGAAAAATCTTAAACAAATACATAGAAGCTGGACATATACAGGGATTAATCAATTCTCCACCAAGCAGCCGGCTGCACAGAACTGGGTCAACACCTGTTCAAACTCCAGTAATACCCAGTAATTTTGAACACACCTCAGCAGAAGTGTCTGGTAACAGACACACCAAACCAAACCAGACCTTGTTGCATTCCTGCTCCCCAGTTAACACACTGGTGTCCCGCAGACAGACATTTGACACATGACCTTGTCCAGATTAAATGTGGAGATCAATAAAAGGACTTTGCCATGCCAGTGTGCAGACTTTGTCAGAAGTGAAAAATGAACTCATCAGGAAAGTATTCTGCCCCTTCAAAACCCATTTCCAGCAAACCATTTGGAGGCGAGAAGTTTCTTTAATAGAAGGAAATTTCCTGGTGTTCCAGGTCTGTCTTGCTCATTGGAATAATAAATGCCTTCAGCTGTTTTGAATCCATTCAACAGACGTAGAGGAGGTATTTAAATATCTGGTGTTGCTCAAACCTCATCACAGGTGGAAGGCCAAGCGTAACAGTCAAAAACAAAACACAAACAGAAAGAAACCGTCTTTTAAAAGTGTCTGTCATCGACAAAGCACTGCCATATGTTCAGGGACATATATTATAATGATGTGGTTGATTCAGGTGTTACCGTAGATGCCGCACAGGGTTCTGGAAAATGTGCAAGGTTGGATTCCCTGACTCAAAAATGTGTCACTGTGTCCACAGGGAATATCATTCATCTATGATGTGAAAATATAGACTTGACTTTATGAGAGAATGCACAAAGGCATTTCATTGGGTAAGGTTAGATAAGAGTAAGGTTTAACAATGAGTAAGGTCTTTTACCTGCTTTTTGTAAAGTGTCTTGAGATAAAAAAAAATTATGAATTGGCGCTATACAAATAAAGATTGATTTATTGATGGTTGGCACTGTGCACATAGGCTTTTATTAATTGTTTGCTAAGCTAACAGCATGGATTAATGTTAATCCATTCCAGTGCTGGCTGGACTAAAATAAACCTGCTTAAAATTAAGTTTGCATTTTTTTTATATCTCTACAGTCATTTGATTAATTGTCATGAAACAACATTTTCTATGCTAATCATGAAAAGAGAGAGATTAATTAATAAGATGTTCTTTAATATCAACAATGAATTGTATGTATTCTGACAGTTTCACAGATTATTATGAGTCAAGTCTGCAGTTGCTCTACAGGACTCTCAAATGTCTTTTATCTTATTGTTTTGGTCTTTGGCCCATCACTTTGTTCTGTTCCATCCTCACACATTTAATAACTTATTTTTTAGCGACAGTAGCATCTGTTTTCATTGAAGAGGATGAAAGATCCAACTACCTTCCCAGCATACAGTCACAGTTATGTCCAGCTGGAGACACATTTAGCAGCTAAACAGCTAAAAAGTAAAACTGTTGTTCCACATCAGTTAAATGTGTTTGCACTATAACACAACTATATGTCAATTTTGTGTTGGCAACTTGTTTACATTGCCATGAATAACAATCCTTATTGCAGGTTGAGTGATGTCATTGTGAGCAGATAAATATGCAAACATTAGCAGTTTTTCAAAGTGCTGCTGAGCATACTGCCTCACAGAGCCATCAGCATCTGACTCTCTTCTTGTCTGTCTGCCACAGTCTGTTTCTTGTTCATTTTAACACTGTATGAGAAGGTTGTCTTATCTTATCAGAGATGTTTGAGTGGTTTAGCTATGATGCAGTCAGAAATATGATAAAAATCACTAGCAAATCAGATATCCAATGACACACTGATAAGGATAAGGTCTTAGCAACCGAACCTCCGGGATAAAAACTACAAGTCAAAATGCAAAATAAAGTTTCCCAAAGTCTGTCAGCTGGTGAAAAATAAAATTCCATTCAACGAAGGAAGTTCCAATTGAAACGTACTCCTGAGCCCCTGCAGACCGGTTGTGACCCTTCATGGCCTCCTCACAAACCATATGTTTCAAATTTAAACAGCACTGGATATATTTTTCCCCATTTCTCTATCAATCTCCCACTTTGTCACACGTGCACACATCAGGTAGCAGAGGAGTCAAAGCTACCTAAATCAACTCCCTTCCCAATTATTCAGCTGAAAAAACATGTGATCTCATGTTTCCTCTGTCAACTCTGAATTATATCATGAGCCTGGATGCCGAGTGGAGCAATGATATGCATGACTACTGATGGACTAAAGTATTTGGCTCCATTCTGTCCAATTGCCCTCTTTGAAATATGTTCCAGCCGGGTTGTTGCTTTCAAAGACATGATATTTTCCATCTGACTTTACATCAGCTAAGAATAGAACTTCAAATAAATACACTAAAGCTATACAGTGTTCTTCAGTTCTTTTACGACCCAGAGGTAAAATTCCTCACTTGTTTGGTCCCAGATGTTCCAGATATTTAAGTTCAAAGGGCAGAGTTAAACGATTATGCTGAAAACACAGAAGCTGATCCAAACTTTATCTTTTAGGTTCATTCAAGGAAAGATAAGAAGAAAAAAAACAGATTGTTACCTTTTCCTGAAAGATAAATGAAAGCATGATTATTTGACTAAAGATGGTTTGAGGTCATGGGAAAAATAAACCCAGCCGGTTCGAGGGCAACAATCTCTGCCTTGGTCTTGACATCTAAATAAATGGATGACGGATCAGAAGAAGAACCAGATCAGACCATTGACTGTAAATCTGAAATCTGCCAGAAAGGATCTTTCCTGTACTAAGGAAAGATGTCCTATTGAATGGATCTTTCCATTCAATAGGACATAGAGTATGACTTGATTTGACCAGCTATTTGCTATTTTTTATTTTTTTTATTTTCCAACACAGCTTTTATCCTGCACAGGTTCTATTTGTTTGTGTTAGTACTGTAAACGCTCTTTGTATGTCTGAGCATGCCACGATTTGTTTCAGGAACAGGTCGTCTGTGTGCTGTATGAGGTGTTGTTGATAATCTAAAATGTAGTTTTCTATGGTATTACCCTCTTTACACATGATGCTGTCAATAAAACTGTGGAACACAGACGGTCCAGTTTTTATAAATAATACTTTATTGATCCCCAGTGGTGAAATTCAAGTGTTGCAGCAGTAAAAGACAAGAAGAAGAGCATGCATATGAGTACAAATGAAATAAGAATATATAGGAATTGGCATTTGCCAATATAGTTATTTTTCAAACTAGTCAGCAATGCCTCTTCTTCTTGAGGAAACTCTGTAAAATGCAGGTCCACAAATGAATTTGTAACTGATAAATAAGTTATTTATGTTGACTAGAAACATAAAAGTAAAGAATATATGTTGAAAAAAATAGACTACAATTTGGGTTAAGTGCTTTTCTGGAAACAGCACTGCAGCAGTGACCATTGAAACCAAGGAAATACACACTTCAGCAGAATCTAACCAAAACATAAATCCACTTTAAAATTACAACCCTGATGCATCAATCCAAAATGCACATGGCTGTTGTCCTTACAAGTAACTTGGATGGTGGAACTGATAAACTGCAAAGAATATCACATTTTATAAACAAGGACAGTTTGGTTTCTGATGTTAAATAAGGTTTTAATCTGTTGACGTTTTAATGTTTTAATAATCCTTACACTCTTACAACCTCACAGTATTTAAAGGATGCCCTTTCCCATTAGTGGTGCCATATGAAAGTCCTTTAGGTCCACTGATTAATACCCAGAGATAAAACAAGCACACACAAACATCTGGTCAACTCAACTCAAGTGCACCTTTATATTCTTATTTTAAAATGGCCAGAATGAATTGGTAAAATTCATCTCTGTCCTGAAGGTCCATGTGTGTGCTACTTTTAACCTGTGGTTGAATTAACAGTGGAATTGCAATTACAGCATTATTAGCTCGGCTCATTGAGTCTTTTATGATGTAGTGATAGGATATACCCTCATAATGTAACAAACTTTAAAATAAAGGATGATACAGTCTTTTTTCATCATTATGTTTCCCTTCTTCCCTCTCTTACAGAATCGTTTCGTCTTTGAAGGGTCTTTGGAAATCCATAATGGTGGCCAGAATGCTCGATTTGGCTCCTCACTTGCTCCGGTCCCTGATCTGAACGGTGACGGCTTCAATGACTTGGTGGTGGGGGCCCCGCTTGAAGATGACCACAAAGGAGCCATTTATGTTTTCTTCAGCCAGCACAACAGAATTCTACGCAAATACAAACAGGTAAGAGATGTGTAAATCCTGAGGGATTGTATGTTTTTTTCCTACCAATTATAATCACATCTACCTTTACTGCTGATTTTTAGTGGACCATATGTTTTTCATTTGAGTAACCAACTACCAGATGCCCATTGATTTATATACAGTTAAAAAAAAAACATCTTCTGGCAGACACTTGTATTTTGCTGCAAGAAACCGTCATGGCAAGCTTAAAAAATCAGTTTAGTGAAGGAAAACAAAAGCAGACAGGAAGCAAGAGGGGAGGCAAAATTAGGAGGCATTCACAGAGACAGTATTGTATATGGGCTCGCATACTGAGTGATAAACAAGGAATGAAGGGCAAGTGGGTTTTAGGATCAGATCAATTACAGAAACAAAGGGAAGCTATTTGAACAAGAAGGCGTTGACAGAGGGATTATGAGCAGTTGTGAAAAAACAACCTCACAGTAAAGTGTTTTTTATTAGGCTGCCAAATGATGATTTAAAAAAAAAAGTTTTATTTCTAATCGCATGTTTGAAATTTAAAAAAAAATCATTTGAAAATTAGAATTGTAATGCTTTTATTTTGATTTTTTTTAACTGTCTTTAGCTGAGCATAATTAACTTACTGTTTGAATTCAACCCTGCTTTTATTTTGAAATAAAGCCAGTACCTTCTGGTAGATCAAAAGGTCACGACATTAACTTAACCACGGAAAAAGGAACTTGTTAAGGATCAAAAAGTAAATGAAAACAGCTAAAAGGAACGGTAAAAAAGAGAAATGTTTGATGTATAAGGTGGTTATTACGTTTGTCTTGTCAACTGAGCTGTCTGAGAGTTTTGTACAGTAGATGAGACATTCAAAGATGCAGCAGTGTCTTATTTTCCATCACTGTGACACAAGGGCGACACTGCTGGCCAAACTTGAACACAAACTTGAACACTTAAATAAATATGCAGCTGCTCTTATAATTCCTTTCCATGTTACTCTGTTAACTGTATCAGTATCTATATTTAATCAGGTATCTTCCTCTGTTTCTCAGAGAATAGCCGCAGCAGATCTGGCTCCTGGCCTGCAGTACTTTGGCCGCAGCATCCATGGCACGATGGACATGAACAACGACGGTTTAGTGGATCTGGCAGTGGGTTCTCTTGGTGCTGCTGTTCTCCTCTGGTTTGTTTTTCATTCAGAAAATAATACTGTTCTCAGAAATATTAAAGATAGTTCTTGCAGTTATTTCTGTAAAACTACTTAAATACATCCCCACATATAGTTTTATACGTGCATTGAGAGAGAATTATATTCCCAGAAATTCTTTTGAGTGTTCAACTTATTAGTGTGGCTTTATTTGTATCACTTTTGTGCCCTCACAGGTCGCAGAGTGTTGTACGGATATATACAAGTGTCAGATTTGAGCCCAGTAAAGTCAATATCTTTGTGAAGGACTGTCAGCGAGGTGGCAAAGACGTGACCTGCATGTCAGCCATTGTGTGTTTCAATATCACTGCCCGGACGGCCATCCCTCCCACACAGGAAATTGGTAAGCCAGAAAAATAATCCACTGCTGTGGAAGCATGTCAGTAAAGTTTCCTAGAGTCTCCCCTTGTCCTTGCCAGATATTTGGTTTCTTCCAAAAGATTATAAAACTGAATTTCATCTAAAGGTAAAGCAGACACCCTTTAAGTTGTTGCAAAATACCATAACTATCATTTCCACAAGTCACACAGATGTCTTAATTAGAATTTTTTATTTCAAATATGGAACTTTTTATATTTTGATTCTCAAAAAACAAATTGTTATTCTGCCAACTATACTGTTCATGCTTGAGCGGTGAAATTGATATGTTGGTCTGCAGTTCGATATAGATCAGTGGTTCTTTAAAGTGTGTTACATGAAAGAATAAAATTTGGCCGGTGTCAAGTGACTAAAAGAATTCAGTCCTCTGGATGTATATCCTTCATTTCATGGCTCCAACAGACTTTTCAGCGCGTGGGTTCTCGTAAAAACTGCCATGGCTACTTCTATTTAGAATGGCGCCAAGGCAAAATGCTTCTTTACAAGCAGTAAGAGATTCTGATCTCACTGCTGTTTCTCTGCCAAAGTGAATGCTACTGCCTCAACAACTGGCATATTTTAATCACAGAGCTGCTATCAAATGTTCCTTTCATTGTTTGAATGCTGTTTGAAGTAGATCAGCAATTTGTATCTGCTTTGACTAGTTTCTTATTGTTTGATGGTGTTGAAAGCTCACACAATCTCAGCTCAATCCTGCAGATATGCTTTATGTGCTACTGATAGAAGCCCACCTGCATACAACCCCAGGGTCTCTCTGCTCACAATTTGTTTGAACAAACTGGATGGCAGGGCTCAGTTTCACTGTGTATTAGGGTGGAGGAAGCAGAGGTGCATTGGAGCGTGTTCTGCGTTAACCTCTTGACCCTCGGACATCTTTATCAAATCTATCAGAGGTGCCAAAACAGAGTGGAGGAAGAGCACAGGGAGGTATCTTGTCTGCCATGTCTTCATACAGTGGAACACGTTTATTTGATTTTCCTCTCATCGTTGTGTCTGGGTCGGTAATGCATGGCAGATGTGTTGGGGTGTTTGTGAGCTCGATGTGGTCTGTTGCATAAAAATTTAAATTTTGTCCATACCAGTTAAGTTAATCTTGTTTATGCAAATGTCTATTTACAGTATTTGAGAGTGGTGCCACAATAAAGAGCCAAACACAAGTAATTTTTAAATGCCAGAGTATGGATTTGAGGTAATAAAATATTAAGGGTTGTCATATGGTGAAAATGGGAGAACACTTCCAGTTTTGTATCAGTTATTAGCACAGATCTTTGTACACAAGGCTCTAGGATTTTTTCAACTATCTAATTCTCTCGTTGACCCCAAATACAAAGCAGGCACAGTCCAGCTTTTGAAGATTTTTCCTCATGCCATGAAAACATGAGGCAGTGAATGGAAAGCCTCTTAGACAATGTGGCTTGGAAAGAACCCAGAAGTGAACCCAGAGGGGTTTGGACTCTTGTATATGTTGGTCACACATTCATCATATGTTCACAGTCAAGCTAATATTGTATTGCACTGCCACAGTGATGTCATTCACCATAGCCAGTTTACTGCCATTTGTCAATTAGTTTGCACTAGTGTTAGTCCAATGATCAAAGTAAAACAAATAGGAAATGATCTTTTATAATTCCACCAAGATGTGTTATTTCTTTCCTCTTCTTTTTCTTCTATAACCCACCAGGGATCAAATTCAATGTCTCCATTGCTGAAAGGCGTTTTAATCCTCGAGCAGTACTGGACAACCCGAACAAGCTGCAGATGCAAAATCTGACCCTCCTTCCTGGACAGGAGACCTGCGAGCACATTTACTTCCATGTCACGGTGAGGCCAATTTTATATAAGTTACATTTAAAGGGGAAATCAACGTTCTCAAAGCAGCAATAATTTTCAAACAAACAGCTTTTTGTTTTTTGATTGTATCTGTTCATTCATGTAAAGGCTTTTCTATAGTTAAGAAGGTGAGATGGTTGAAAGATTAGATTGGAAGACACTAAATAGAGGCTTCTTTATGTTGAATTCTGTGAGAACTTTGTTAAGTTAAAATGCTGTTCTGGATGCTTTACTACTACAATAATAATTCAAAATAATTACTTTTGTTGAATTAAAGGAGTCTATTTTAACATGTTGAATTTTAGCAAAACTTCATTTAATCTGATCCCTCAGTCTTAAATTTTTATAATTGGTAACAACACATGCGGCATGCAGATGAAATTCTAATAATATGTTTTGGCATTTCTGCATCCCCTTTGAAAGTAAAAATACTTTAGTGCCATAGAGAAAGTGCCATGATAGAGTCCAGGCTAATCCTCAAGTTGAATGTTATACAACAGGAGACTACAGACTATGCAAGGCCCATAGTGTTTACCGCACAAGTGGGACTACAAGATCCAGATAAAGAACCAATCCTGGACGACACCTGGCCGACTGTTGTGAGGACTGAGGTGAGACACGATCTGACTTTATTAAAATGCACTTCCATAAATCTGATTCTACCAAAATGAGAATGAAATGAAAATGATCTGTAGTTTATTTGACTTAAAGAAGCTTATTTCTTTGGACAGCTGCCCTTCTGGAACGGCTGTGACGAGGACGATCGCTGCATACCCGACCTAGCTCTGCAGAGTATGACCGACCTGATGACGCCAAAGTAGGTATCCACATATTCAACACAATAATCACACTGCAACACACACGAGAATACACAGACATTCTGCATTCACACCCTTAATTTAAAAAAAAATGGAGGTTGGGTTGGAGGGGCAATGCAACATGGTATTAATGTGATGTTTGGCACACATGTTGTTATACATGGACAGCAAGTAGTGATCTTTGTTACACAGATAAAAATGGTAATTGTGCAAATAAAATTAAAATTGTTGCATTACAATAATACAGTCAGTTGTCTCTCAGTCCAATAGATGGTGCAGAGTTGTTTCTGGTGAGGTCTGCAGAGGTCACTACATGGAAACATAATCTCCTAATATCAATATGATATTATTTGTTTGCTTCAAAAACAATCTGCTGAAGGGGCTTTATAAAAAACTGTATTCAAAAATGTTGCTTTGTTTCAAATACATGTAGCTGTGCAATAGTCCACACAACTTTTTAAGAAGTGTAGTTGGCCTGTGTAAACTGTAATACAACTTCAGTCTGTGGGATGCATGTATCATTTATGCATGTTTAGGTTTAGAGGGAACAGATGTTGCCAAAGTTTCTTTAAAGAAATTATTTGGACGAAAAGCTAATAAGCTAATAAATTGCAAAACATACGCTATCATAATGTCCTGAAGGTTCTGTATTTTCATTTGGTAATTCTCTACCCAATAAAAAATATTGCAACTTATTTGTTCCTACATCTCCTTCTGTCCCTCTCAGTCATTTCTGCACACAGCCTGTGCAGTCCCGTGGAGCTTTCTGCCACCATGTAAGTGAAGCAGGGACTGAAGGATCTCTGCGTGTTGTGGAAGCCCACAGGAGGAGGATGGTGGTTGATATACGACTGGAAAACAAAGGAGAGAACGCCTACAATTCTCTTCTAAATATCTCCTACACGCCCAATCTACGCTTCTCTAGCCTCATAGTCAAGGTGAATTTTCATCTCCCATCTCCTGTGGTTTATGATGAGATCAAACTTCTATTAACTTGGTTTTACCAGCAGGTGCCATTAAATAAATGGTGTATTTAGGCCAGTGGCACTGTATTAAAAACTGCTGTTTTATTTGACCTAGGACACCTCTGACATCAAAATCGATTGTTATGTGGAGGACAAACTGAGGAATGAGAAGATCTGCAATGTCAGCACTCCATTCATGAGGGGCAAAAGTCAGGTCAGTGAAAAGAGTTCAACTTGAAATCTGTTTGAATTTTGAGCAATTCCTGTGGATTTGTAACTTTCCTAAATATTTGCCCATCCATGATCCACTAACAAAACATTTGGACTAAACCTGGTGTTTTTTGCTGTTTTTCTGCATGGTGCACTGGCAGATTTACAGTTTTTGCGCTGATTTCGGAACATTTTCCTGTATTATTTCTGCCATTTCGTTCCGGGAGGTTTTTCCAAGTCAAAGAAGGCCATATGTTTGAGGTGAGATTAATAATTCCTGAATAAATCTGACTGAATGGAAAGCAGATGTAAAAGTTCAACTTTCCAACCATAAAAAAAAAAAATTCACACAGACTCCCAAATAGGATCAAAATCAGTTAGACAGTTGCACAGAAATAAAAATCTGGGACAGTGTCACAGCCTGCATTGTGCTGCTACTCCACGGCTGAGAAAACACTGACATTGGTCACATTGGACCACTGAGACCCAAAACACATACTGCAGGCTTTAGATGACCATGACAGACCACAATGGCTAAAGTACAACCCACAATCAAACCAGAGGAGCTCTTTTTAGTTCTGGTTTGTGATTTCCCTCCTTTCTATTGTCTGACATCCAAGTTTACAATGTCGACACTGAAACATGTCTTTCTGCATTTTACTTAATAACTTTAACAAATGTGTTTAGGAAGCAACTGTAATAAAAATAAGCACATTTTATGAAACATTTTCTTATCACAACACATTCATAAAGACAAAACTGAACATTACAGATCAAGTTCAACATCCTTACCTTAACTTACCGTAAAATCCGGTATATAAGACGTACTTTTAAAACATATTTTTTCGTATGAAAAGTTGGCTGCGTCTTATACACCGATGCAACCAATATACCAGTATGAAATACTGAAACACGCGCCGTCATTACAGCGGGTGCAGCAGCCACTAACTGCGACCTGATGCGATTCCCCATTCATTGTGTATTGATAGCTGGTTGAACGCTGTGCTGGAAAAGACGGCGACACAGACCAGTCTGGCTGCGCGACTTTCTTCACATCTTTTCTCCCTCACGAGGTCATAATCATGCATTTACAGAAAACAGTGGTATATTGTTCCATAAATAAACCTTGTGGAGTGCTCTTTTGATTGAAAGAGTCCTATGTTAAAGTTAAAGAGTGACCAGCGGAGTCGGGCGGCGCAGCTCGCAAGCTAGGAGTCTGTGCCTCGCAGCTTTCACTGCAGGCTGAGAACTCAACTACCGTACTGTAGCTAGTAGGAGGACAAACTCCCGAAAGTGAAAACAGACAGAACTAAAAGAGCGACACAGCTGCACAGAAAATGCACGTTGTAGACATCGCTGAACACAATATGAATCTCACTTTATTTACAGTTCTATGAACAGAGGACGACTAATACTTCCAGACCAATCAAATGTGTTTAAACCTAAAAATCTCAAAGTTCAAGTCACTATATGATCAGAACAGGAGTGCAGAGAGGTTATAAAGAGAGGAAAGGCTTCATTAGCCACAGAAATCTAGGAAGCTGCACATTAACTTTTTGCTCAACACTCTATGCACCTTGTCTGCTAAATAAGAAATATTTAAAGACGCTTTAATACATTTTTACATACAGTATATTGCACACATTTAATTTCTCAGCTGTGTTAAATAATTTATTCTCAGTGGCCAATCAAGCGACTGTCTGCTATTCCATGATAGTAGACAGTTTTTATGAACAACAGACTGTTGCTATGAAGACGAGACTGTTGCTATGAAAAGCAGGTGGTTGCGATCCCAATAATCCCCAGCCCCTCCATTCACATGCCAAACTTTGATTGAGCAAGACAATGAACCCAAATTGCTCCCTCTCCTAGTCAGTTGTGTATCGATGTGTATGAATACACACCACTTAGCAGCCTCTGCCATCAGTGTCTCACCCAATCCGGAAGACCTCTGCTTCTCGTCTGGTTCCTGCCCGCCATGTCCGGGGTTCAGGGTTCTACTATGTCAACCCCATCACTTTAAATGTTCCCCCTATAATAAGCAACATACAGTAGAACTTTATTAAACTGCACCTACCAATTCAACCAGCCGCTTCAATCTCATGGGTATGTAAGTGTACAACAGAGCAATAGTTATACTAAACAATACAATGCATAGATAAATAAAATCAATTCATCATTCAAGAAAATCTTCAGAGAGGGGGGTATGTGGGGCAGTAAGCCAAACTCAGCATTAAGCATCTGTGTCAATGATTGTATGTGATCCAGAAAGTGCTTCCAGGTTGTGTAACATGTTTAAGACAGCCGTATTAAATTATCTTATTTTCTTCTTCTTCACTTGATCCAAGATCTTTCAACATTTAGAGTGTGAAACAAGAATCTACTGATCTAGCCTCAGGACCCACAACCAACTCCTTAATGAGAAATTTCTGATATTTTTCTCAACCAACACGCTTTATTGAATGAACAATAGTGCAGTTTGGACTTCAAACCGGACAAAACATGTGACAGAACAACGAGGTGGAACAAAACAAACATGTTTTAAAAGCGCTTCATAGGCTTTTTGACACAATGTATTTCCATGCACCTATCTGATTCTGATTCTGACTCTGATTTGTAACCCACTGAAAACAGCTCCGCAACTCACTTTGCAACTTTTTCCCAGTTGGGAACCACTGCATTAAGTAAAACAAGCCTCTAATTGGTTGCATTCAAGTTTAGCAAAAAATAAAAAACGTTAGCAAAGACCAATAGAGTGATTTAGAGTTGTTGTTTTTTTAAGATTTATTTTGGGGCTTATTGCCTGTATTTGACAGGGCGGTGGATAGAGTAGGAAACTGGGGAGAGAGATTAGGGAATGACAATGTGGTAAAAGAGCCATCAGTCATATTTGAACTTGATGCCCGCTTAGAGGACTATAGCCTCCGTATATGGGGCGCAATCCAACCACAAGGCCATCTGTGCCCCAAATGAGAGGTTTTTAAAACGCTGGTACAGCACTGGTATTTTAATTCTGATCAGCTGTTTCACTGACATTCTTCAGAATAAGGAAATTGACTGTTTCCTACCTATATATTCACCGCGATTCAATTAATGTATCAACACAGGCTCTTATGGAGCTCTCTTATATTCCCCACAGCAACGAGGCTTCCTCAGGTGCAGTCTTATGAGTTCACTTTTGTCACATGATCCTTGACTGTAACATTCATGTGATAGGTTGTTATGATGTGACTCATGTTGCTAAGTAATCAATGTGTCTTTTGTGACATGAAAACAGCGCACAACACTGAGTTCATATTTTATGTGACTGAGTGTGAAGAATGGACCTCCGCAGAGTTGATTTTCCTTTGTTTCACATTCTTCATTAAAGAGGACACGCTGTCGCTGGCTCAAAAACACATGAGTGAAACTAAAACCTGCAGTATGGAGTCTGGAAGATTTCTGGGATAGCTGCCATAACGTATGTGAGAGCTGCTGCATCACTAACACAGCTCTGAAGGTGACTTTGCACATTCTCAACTCATTTTCTTAGATTTGGAATAATCATCCGTTATTTCAACATTAAAGCTCTTTGCAGTACTTTTTTCTGCTGTAAACTTTTAAAATATAAATTAGCATCCATTGAGATGTCATTTTCAAAAAAGCCTCTTGGCAACAGTTTAAACAAAACTGCCTTGCAGCCATTAAGAACATTTTGTCCTGCGAGGGCTTTGTGCATCAGGTGAGACTGAGTGAAAGATAGTGGGAGGTTTTTCTTTCTCTCATCTGTTACTGATTCTCACTTTCAATTCTGCTGTTTGCAAGCTTTTCCACAGGCTTGTAATGTCAACGATATTTATGAGACTCTTGCACTTTCCAGTGAGCTTTACAGCAAAGAATCAAGTTTTATTTTTAAGAAGGTGATGTTTGAATAAACTTTAAAAGGGATGACACTGATTGCACCTAAATAAAAGCTATTAAATAGCGAGCAGATTATCCATAAACCGTCTCTTTCATTGATGTCTGAACAATAGTCTGTCTTTCTTACTTTCCTAATACGGAAGGCTGATAACAAATACGGAAGGAATAAACCAATAAAGGTGATTCAAAGGTGAGTCATGAGACGTCCTAACCCCGTTATTATTACAAACAATCGTGATCTCCTTGGTAACCAAAATATCACCACATTTCTCTATAATTCTCCCCGACATCTGAACCAAGAGGACTCAGGTCACCCATTTAAAGCTTACCAAGTGATTCATGCCCACTCATTCTGCCTGAACCAGATCCAGAGCCACAAGCCTGATCTGGTCAGATCCAGGGCCTTTTAAAAATGTGGCAAACTGAGTTTCACAAGGCTGATTGGTACGCAGCTACTTCTGCCAAGACTGCCCAAACCGCTGTTTAGCTGAGAGAAAGTAGAACATCAGGGCAAGCTGTTTAAAGTGGCCAGTGAAAGCTCTTATTTGGACTTATTTGGAGTCTTTTCGACCTGTGTAAAACTAGTATGCACTTCAAACTTTGCTGATGCCTGCTCTAAATGAGCCCTAAAATCCTGTTTTCACTGAGCAATGACAAATTACTTTTTCCTTGTCGTGGGTGTACAGAGAGACAAGGTGAACTAGTTGTTGCCATTAATTGCTTGATTATGGACTATGAATGTGGCTGAATACGTCAGCCCCAGAGGAGGAAGTAGATCTTTAAGCCTGGTTTCAACTTCCTTTTCCAACTAAGCTTGCACATGATTATCCTCCAAACACACACATACAAGTGAGGAGCCAAATCGAGCTCTCTTGCCACCATTATGGATTTATAAAGACCCCTCAAGAGAGAGAAGAAGATGATGATCAAGAGTGTATCACCCATATGAATTTAGAGTTTGTTATCTTCTGGAGTATATCCTAAAAGATGCTCATAACAATATTTGATGCAGGCTTTATACAGTGTGCTACACAAGGCAGCACTGTCTTGCTCCAAGCATAATATATATTCTTCTCTTTGGTTTCGACTTCATAAATATCAGAATAGAATGGCCGCTTAAGGGACATTGTAGCTTTTTTATAACACAAGAATTTGTGACTGTATGCTTTAGTACAGATGTTGCTAAATAGACATTTGCTTTAGTTGGGAGTAATACTACACACACACACACACACACACACACACACACACACACACACACACACACACACACACACACACACTTCTACTAGAAGACCATTATATAGTAGAATCATCCAATTACTTAACAATCGGGCTGGCCAAAACAATATAGGTTGAACCTCTTTAGAACAATCTTAACAAAAAAGAAAGGTCTTTATTTCTACTCCTATTCCCTTTGAAGCTGCCCCCCCCCCCCAACAGTCCACTAAGACGAACAGGGATCAAATGAAAATAAGACATATTTTTAAGTATATTCTATGTCTGTGGTCTGTTAATGATGAGTCAGTGTATATGGGGAGGGGGTACAATTTACTTTGTTATGCATTCCTCTCTGGCAGAATCAGTCAGGATTTCATTACAGCACTGAGAGCTGTAAACAATGCAACATGCAACGCTCGGCCTCTCCTCTCCTCTCCTCTCCTCTCCTCTCCTCTCCTCTCCTCTCCTCTCCTGTGTGTGTGTGTGTGTGTGTGTGTGTGTGTGTGTGTGTGTGTGTGTGCGTGCCTGTGTGTGCGGTCATGATGATTTGTACTTATGGGGTTGCCATCAGCTAAGTGGAAATTTCCTGGCTCTTATACAATACCAACTATGCCGTTGCCTGCCTGGGGTCAAAGCTGGAGACTTATTCCTACTTATTGCATCTGTAATCCTGAATGCAGGATATTTTCTGTTGGAGGCATGTATACAGTAATGTGTTAGGGTAAAAGAAGCCTCTTACCTCTAATTTAAGTGTTTTGGTACGCTGTAATAATACTAAACTGATAACACATAAAAGGGAAACTGACGGAATAGATACAATGTGGAATTATTTGAGTGATTTGTTCTTCTATACTTCATTTTCCCCATTGTGTAGGTAACGTTTCGTCTGGAGCTTGAGTTTAGTCGGACTGTCTTCCTGGACCATGTCAGGATTATCCTGGAGGCTGAAAGGTGTGATAATTTATTGAAAATCTATATTTTAAATGATTTTCATCATAATTATTTTCCTCTTTGCATGCAGAGAGACTTGCCTTAAACTGTTCTCTGTCCACATTGTGTCCATAAAGATGCTTGAAACAAGTTAGAAACTTGCAATCAAGCTTTGAGGATTAGTTAAAAGAGCATTGAGGCCAATAAATAATCATAGTTGACCGTTTTGATTTTTTTTTTTGTCTTGTTTTCTCGACAGTGATGGCGAGGAAGAGAGCACAGCTGATAATCTCAATGACATCTATTACTCACTGAGATACGAGGCAGACCTTCTCTTCACTAGGTTCGTCAATTTCTTCATCTCTAAAAAGATAATGCATGTCGCTGAAGTTCTCGAGGTAATTTTGGAAGCTATTAATTCTGTAACTAGAACAATGCAACTAGAACAAAGTGATTTGATGGCATCTGGAAAATGTTGTGCAATGGGCTCTCATTGTTGGGAAATAAGATGCAGATACTATAGCTGGATGTGGACCTTCATATCACGCACATATGCTTTAAACCTCACATAAATGGAAGATAATTGCTCCAACCATTTCTCTTGTTTGTGTTTAATTATTTACTTCAAAAGGGATTCAAATCCGACCCGCTATGAGATCAAATCAGAGCTGTCGCTGGAGGAGCCTGGAGTTATCGGACCTCCTTTCAACTTCACGTTCCAGGTGAGAGCCGTGAGCATCTTCACAATAACTTTAATTGACTTCACATGAAAACACTTGGAAATGATTTACATCTTGTTTTGCTTTAGATCCAGAACCTTGGCTACTTCCCAGTAAAGGATCTGCAGCTGAACATTGAGATCCCTGAAATGACCAAAAATGGGAACCAACTCCTGCAGATATCTGACTTTCATATCGACCAGGTGAGTGTGGAGCGTTAAAGTCAGTCTCAGCAAAGTTACTTAAAGTGAACTTTAGAGAGACTAATTACTGCTTTAGAAGGAAAAGCTGAATTTCTAAACAACAAAAACAAGCCTCAGCTAAGTACAGAATGATCATGGGTTTTGTGCCTCGCCTTTCCTGGTCTAACACTAGATTATCATGAGTTATGTTACCAGACTTCCAGTTTGAAAGATGTTGAATTTCCTTTTTTCTGAGATTGTTTTGACAACCATTGGTTTGGGTTAGGTAAATATAAACAAACCAGCCCGTTTTACTCTTCTTTAAGACCTTTCAGTCTTTGCGTGTAATTGTTGAAATAATGGTTCCTTATTTCAGCCAAAGTAGACACAAGCTTTTAACATCTAGAAGGAAACTTCAGGTTCAAGTCAAAACCTTTGCTAGCTGATTTAACCAGTTAAGCTGACTTTAGCTAAGTGAATTGGAATAAGTTGTTTATTCAACTAGAGCAGTTGTTGTAACCATCAAGCCCCATCCTACTATGCATGGATTAGTTGGGAAAGTCAAATGTTTAGACTCATGAATTAAACTTAGCACCGTCTATAATGTGAAACCGTTTTCATCTCTAGCCTTTAACAGTTTCACTGTGACCATGATTATTTACTAAACACGTCCAGTATGTCGGTTACGTGGGTAATTAGGGATCAACACTGTTTGGTAAAATACGTTTTCTGTTCAAACAATAAGTCCATTCCTTGCTTCAAGCACTACTTATGTTTTAGCATCTACCATTTCTCCCCTTGCCTGCCTGCAGTCTTAATGTTAAGCTAGGCTAAACACATCCTAATTAAGGTCTGCCCTTTACACACAGACATGAGTTCTCTTCTTAAGATATAAGTCTATTCCATTATCTGCAGATTAAGTTTTGTAATTAATAATCAAATTGTTTTTTTGCAGGTTAAGATTGAAATATACTGACAGATTTTTTTTTTTACCCCATGCCACCCAGAGAGATGATTCACACTGTTTACCACCTCAGCATGTGGCACAGAGCAGGGCGTCACCTGAGGACCTTTCACGCTTCTCCCGCTTGGTAAAGTAGAAAATATATATATAAAAGACAAGATTTATACTCCTGACTCAGTCTTTGGTCAGGTTTTTTTCTGAAGACTGAAATCATCTTTTTATTCACACAGAACCAATCCAACACCCTGACTCTGCCCGTCCAGTGCACCGTCAATGTGGCCGCCTACAGAGAAATTGCAGTGAGAATCACAGGAGCACTAAGAATAGATACCTTACATGCAGTGAGTGTAAAACCCTCTATCATGCATACATAACACTGGAAATCCTCAGCTTTATTATAGCACATTTGCATGCAAGTGTCCCATTCATCTTCCTGTTGTTCTGCTTTGACTCAGTTGAAAAACACCCAGCTTTGTAGTCTCTCAGCTGTGTGATGTGTTTGTAAAAACTGGCAGCTTGTTTTAATTTCCTCTCCAGCTGAAGTTTAAAATCTTGGAGCTGGCAACCAGTGCATCAGTGGAGCTTCCCTCTTCCAGCCCCATGTTTCTACATGAAGAGAGGCCTGTCAGACATGTGAGTCAACAACACCAACTGAAGCTGTAAACTGCCTCTGTCCCGAGTCTGTCCTGATCTGATCTGAGCTCATAATGGCATCATAAATTAGATCAGACTTAGCCAGACTTTGAGTTTTATCCTCTCCATGTGTTACTATAGAGCTTTTGTACTTAAGAAGATCAAACCAGTCACTAGAACTTGTTAAAATTGAATTAAAGTAATGAAACAGTCCAATATCAGTAAAGTTCTTATTTATAGAACAAGAACATACTTCACTGCATTAACCCTTGACAGATCATCATATATAAGACACATCAATGGGCTGAGCTGCTCTGTGTTACTGTAGCGGTGTAGACTCACAGCTAATGTTGGTGTGAGAGCACATGTGCTGTGTGTGGTGCTCAGGGACCGAAAGGACCAGCGGCTCAACATGTAAAAGCTAATACAGGCATCTCTGCTGCCATCTATGGGCAAGTTAAAGAATGCATTTTGTTCTGCCACCTAGAGCAAATCAATTGTACGATTTCAGCTGAGGAAAGCTTTAAATGTATTGTTGTTGGTATTTTTCTTCATATATACAATTTTGATTTGTCTGTCAACCAATAAGGTTACCTTTACATTTATTTATAAAGGAGTCTTCAATTCTGTTTCAGTCTAGTTTTTTTAATAACAGACAATGTTTCAATTCTACAAATGTTTCTCGGAGTTGCAGTTAAAGCTATAATCTTTGTAAATATTCCATGTTTAGTGTGTGAGGGTCCATGTGCTAAATATAACTAATGATTGGATTTAAAGTCCAGACTAATTATCATCAGAATGGGATTAGTTAATAATACACATATGGTCACTTTACATAGCAGTGTCTGCCATCAGTGTGTGAATGGGTGTGAATGTGTAGGTGTGACATGCGGTGTAAAAAGCGCTTTGAGTATTCAGAAGACTAGAAAAGCGTTATACAAGCTCATGTCCTTTTCTCATTTAATAATTATGTAGTTAGAGCAGCAGCCTAGCTGACATTTACACATAGGCTTTATAATCATATATATTACTGATTACAGTTTGATGTTGCCCAAGATTAATCTAATAAACTCTACATTACAACATTATGAAACAGCAGTCTAAATCCTGTCTCAATAAAAAAAATATATTTTCTAAACTAACAATGTAAATATTTTCTCGTCTTGTCCTCAGATTGTTTTGGAGATCAGGAAGGAGGGAGATTACAGAATCTCTATCTGGATCATCATTGGTAGCACGCTGGGAGGACTCCTGTTGTTAGCCCTGCTCATTCTTGCTCTGTGGAAGGTAAGTCAGAGTCATGTGGAAGTTACTTAGAAAACAGATATTAAAACAACAGAGAGAGACCTGTAATATATCTTTACTGAGACTCAGAGAGCTCAGGTGAACCACAGTACAGCTTTTTTTTAATCTATAGAAGGCTATAGCATGTTTTTCTTTCCTTAATGTATTCAGCTCGACTAAAGTTAGTTGAGGTCTCCCAAGACTTTATTTGTACCAAAATTACAAAGCAATACTTCAGCGCCGGGTTATGCTGCCACCTTCTGGTAGAAAATAAAACAACATCAGTAGATGGTACAGTAGCAGAAGACCAATTACAGACATTTCAAAATGTTAATAATGATAGGAGCATCTGGCAGAGCTTTACAAAAGTCAAGATACAAATAATGTATTTTTTAGCTCCAGTCAGGACACTTATAGTATTAAATAGAGTCTTTTTCTGAGCTTTTGTTCAAACAGAAGAAACTGCACAGCATCTCCCTGTGTGCATGTTTTGAGAAATAAAAGCTATGCTGAATGTAGAACTTTATTTTTAAATGTATTTTAATTTAATTTAATTTTTGTCCTTTTGCCTTTGACTTAAAGGACATTAAAGAAAGGACATATTAAGGTATGACAACATGCAACAATGAAACAAAGGGTGGGATTTGAACTTTGGGCAGCTTATTTTAAAGTTAAAGCTCAGTAGTCAGTAAAGGCCTCCTTACATTAATGCTGTACACAGGAGCCATTTACAGAAAGATAAAATCTACCTTTAAACAAGTGAATGGCCTACATGGTCATACTAACACAGGTTAGCTTCAGTGTATGTTGTGTGTGTACAAAAATGTGTTTCATTGACAACTCCCTCACTCTCCTGTGAGCACCTCTGAAGGTTTGAATATGTTCTCCTTCAGTGCTCCCATTGGAGCAGCAGGCTCATTTTCTTGTAGAGCTCAACACAGTGGCGCCCTCTGCGGTCTGATAAAAAGAGTGCAGTTTATTAAAGGCACTTCGGCTTTCTCTTAACTTGACAGATCTGTAGGCTACAGTACATCCACTTCTCTATACTGTCACTGGATTACACTGGAGCTGGACATATCAGCTGATAGATGACAGCGACATGTATTTTAAAACTCAGGCAAAGCTAGTAAGCCATAAGAGGATTTTGTTCCTCATACTGATACAGAAACTTGAACCCAAACTACCATGGAAAGTCATAAATTGTTAGTTTTTATCAGATTTTTATTTGCTTTGTTTCACTCCTTTCCTCGCAGCTTGGATTCTTCCGGAGGCAGAAACGGAGAGAAGAGGACGAGCGGGAGGCAAACGGGAAAGTGGCCGAAGAACGGTAACGCAGGCTGTGGGCCCCCCAGCAGACACCTTTTCAATAAGGGGACCCAACACTCAGGGACCAACCCACCTCCCCGCTGCTCCCCAACAACACAGTGGCACCGAAAAGACAGCCTTTTCGCATGATCGCTGAAGAAAGGCTCGTTCAGTGCACTGGATCTGTCCCACGCCACCACCCCTGACCCCAGAGAGTCAGCACTGTCACACTCACTTAGCATTCCTGCACTGTTGCGACATTAGGGCCTTCTTTGTCCATGTATTCCACTGTCCTCCATGTCGTAAAATGTATAGATCTTTGAGCTCTCGCTTCAGGCTGGAGCTCTGACTCCTGGGCATCAGAAAAGAAGAATAGAGCGAGCTTTTTTTCCTTCTATTCTAAGTATTTCAGGCAACAATTTGCCCTCAAGGCAAGAGTTAGCTAATCACGCCTTCATCTTTTCCTGATGTATATTTATTTAAGTCTTATGATCAATTTTGAAATACATGAAAAACCTCAAGGGTGACATTCCACCCAAAAGCTACCGCAAATGTAAAGTTAGTATTTTGTATATGGACTTCAATTTTTAAAAGATATTATCTGCAACATATTCAGCTCATTAGCATCATAATTTATTAAGAAACAGAACTAAAGTCGCCAGAGTAAAGAGAAGAGTCATGATGCTTCACTTACGGAGACTTTTCTGGATTACAAAAAAGAAAAAGAGATTCTTCTAAACCTGAATTCACTCCTTCTCTTTAAATATTTGATGCACTTTCACTTTGTACAAAATTAACTTGAATTTTGTAAATAGTCAAGTATCTTTTTATACGCTTTCAAGTATTATTAAGTTTTCAGTATTTTCCACATCGTTTGTGGCGTTACTTTGTAACTTAAAGAGACGAATGAAACCAAACAGCTTTGTGTCACTGAACCTGTTACGAGACATTGCATGCCTTTTAACATGCACTGCATCAGAGCAAAAGAATGTGCAAAAGATACTGCAGGAAAGAGATTTCATAACATGGATTTTATAAAGAGCTGAAGGTAAGAGATGATCAGATTTCATAGTAAATGCACGCGGCTATGTGATCACCCTCCTGGTGTTACAGGCAAAAGTGTTTGTTGTATTGGATGAGGTGTGAAGAGCTGTTATACGCCTAACAAATAAAACATTGTATATGTCTGAGTGTCTCCTTAATGAACACCTGAGGCCTGGAGAAGCTGTGTGTTTAAGTCTGAATCTAAAACAGAGTAAGAGGAGCAGCTAAGGATCGAGAGAGTGAGCAAGATTTTTGTTTCTCTAAAAGCTTATTAACAAGCAATGTGTGTTTACCCAAGAGCATTTTCAGTGTACTATAAAGACTAATAATTGTAATGGTTGATTTGCTGCTAAAGAAGCAGATTTTTCATCTGTCTCCAGGTTGCTGCTTTGTTTATCGCCCAGGAAGAAGGGGGCAGCCACTGTCAATCTGAACTCCTCCTCCTCCTCCAGAGTCAACAGTACGTCTCAGAGACTAATCATTACTGCAGTGTTAAACGTGAGGAGATGCTCACTGGCCTTCTTACTTTGAGATTAGACGTTCGATAAGATCTCAAGTGCTATTGATCTTCTGACCTCTGCCTTTTTTTTTTGGTATTTGACCTGTGTTATAGTGGAGGAGTCATTACAGAGATATTACAATAATTATCCAAATCAAAAGGGATCATCATCTAAGACTGAGATACAATTCATTTTCTTCTTTTGTGTGATCTTTTTCATATTCATAACCGAGCGACATCTTACCTTTCCCATGATGAGACCAAGTGTTACCATCCCGTTTCCCGTATATCCTCTGGTCTTTAAGGCTTCATGTCCAAAGATGGTAACACAAGTTTTCTCCGATTTCATAAAGTTTCAGCCACTAGAACATATTATCTGCTGAACATGACTAAAGTGACCTTTAAATGAAACATGTGTTTAGTGTCCCTTTAAGGGTGACTTGAGGACAGGACCCCTGTGGCCAACCCCTCAGTTCAATTATTTTCCAAAATCGTTGCTTTGAGCTGCTCTTTATTTATTTACATCATGGACTTAAGCTTTACATTTGATCTGCATGAGTTTCTGTGTCTGACAATTTAGAACCAGCAAAAGTCAGTCAGTGAAATAAATAAGCTTTTTTCAAAACATTCTTTAAGACATTGTTTCTGTAGTTGTACTCCTCTTTAAAGATACCTTTAAAGCTAAAGCTGTTTACAGATATTATAGATATCACAAAGTGGATTAAGTCTATATATAGGAAGTCTAATTATTTACGGCTGAGCTGCAGTTTGAGAAATATAAGATAAACGCTGAACGGAGAGCATTCTAGAAATCAGATACTTTCTGATTAATGCATTGTTTCCAGCGTCACATAAACCAATTTACCTTCAACACACAGGTGGCCTTGTAGCCTGGGGTTTTGTTTGGCCTGCAGTGTTTTCAATGACTTGACTTGAATGATGAGAAAATCTAATTTAAAGGCAAATGACAATCAGTGTTCGCGGTTGGGTTTTTTTTCCCTTTTTAAAAAAAAGGGTAAACGAACAAAGCTAGTGCGAGTTGCATTCGTTTAGTGAAGCTGTCATTTGGGTGGAGGGATGCAGGTTTCATTCAGTCAGCTGATGCTAATCATCTTGTCTCCACAGAGCAATGGTGAAAACATAGCAATCCCGATAACAGGGACAATAATAACCTCGCTGCTGCTGCAAACTCATTAATATTGAGCAACAGCTGCAAGAGAAATGTCTGACTATAAAGTTCTATCAATCAAACACAAGCACTGCTGAGAGCTGAATTCAAACATGCAAATCACAGAAAATGAATCTGCTGTACGATAAGTTAGAGCACAAACTATATCAATGAGATATTCATTTCTGTGCTGTTTTGACTCAAATTCTTTTCTATTTTGCATATTAACCTGTTACAGTAGATGTGGGTTTGAAGATATTTAACAAAGGCGTTTTAAAAAACACTTTTTTAATTTAAAATCACGTTCAAAATGAATACGAGTGCACTTGTTGAATTTAATCAAACCCAAATACTTTGATTAAAAACACACACTCAGAAAGCAATCAAGAATAAAAATCTGCAGTTCACTGATTGGTGAGAATTGTCAGACTGATTACTTAATAGTCTGAATAATTTGTTGATTGAATAAGGAGAATTAATCGCACTTAAGTTCACCCTTTCAGTTTATTTTGATGGTTACACGATGTGACGCATGTGAGTCATGGTCATACACTCTTAGAGCTCTTTCAACTGAGAAAATGGAATTGCACATTTTCTCTTAAGGATCGTCAGGATAATCGTCCTGCTGTACATTCAATGAAATAATCCACTGAAGTATTTACACCTTACAAATGAATAGATTGCACTGCCGCAAAAAGTCCAGAAAGTTCATGGACAAGTGTCACTGGTATTGTAAATTTTCTAATCGTTGAGACTTTATTTATAGTAGCATATCAAACATGTCCAGTTGAAAGAGATTTTATGAATTTCCCTTAAAGGTACAGCCTTGATTCAGTACATGCATTACCCATCAAAACAACAAAAAGTATCATGTTAACGTTCTTTAGTATGACCTTCATCAGCTCTCCAATTATCCTGACAGGATTTTATTTAACAAAATGTCTTTCTGTATTTGATTCTAACTCCTGGCTAGTCTTAAAGGATTATTGTAGCTGAAATAGAACCAGAAGAAGGGGGTTACACTTAGGTACGTTTCTGCATAATTTCTGCCTACATTCATGTTGAAATAGTTCTCCTGATTTAAAGTAAATCACATAAAGTAGTTCTGTATTATATTTGTTTCAGTTCAACCTGGAAAAGGGACACCTCGTGTGTCTCTTTTGTCAATGTTCTTTCCTTTTGTTATTCATTACAGTCCTTTGAGGGTTGCTTTCTGTTCAGGTCGTGGACGTGACAAATTGAAGAGCTGTGAATGAAATTGGTTTGACAGCGATCGCATTGAACAACACCATGGATGTTGGTGATGTATGATTGCATACCGATTCTACACAATTGTTGCATAAAGGAAAAGGCTGCTTGTAGGACCATTTTTAGATCATTGCGATGCGCCATTCCTGCAGCGGTGGGGACAGTCCAAACAACATACAAGCGTCCTCAGGGCAAAATCAGGTGAATGAATGGAACAGGATGAACACTCATTGTCACACAAACCTGGCAGCAAACTGGGACACATGCAGCCAGAGGACCACTCAGCTCCATGGCTCTTATGTGTTTTGTTTTATCAGTCATCTGAAGATAACTTACCAAGATCCGAGAGACAGCTGGAACCTCTGCAGCCAGCCATTAATAATAACCTGAGACAGCACGTGTTAAACTGGACCTTCATTCAGCATTAGTAACAAAGGCAGCACATGATGAAGCACACAATCACTACTCAGGCATAATAGAAAGAAGTAAGAAATAATCCAAAATAATCTCTGCGAGAATTTATTGTAATTTTGAATGATTTATACATTTAATATACATGTATAGACTCTTAAGTTCACTGTGCAATGGCATGTTATTTGTGATTTTAAAGCAATGTGTGTAAAGAAAATGTCAAATTTAAATACTTAACTTTAGTATTTACATTGTCTGTACTTCATGTTTCTATTCTGCTACCTCTCAGAGGAAACTACTGTACTTTTAAGGATTTGCTGTTTTCCCGAAGTCATAAGGAGACATACTTTTATTTCACATAATATATAATGCAGGACTTTTACTTGTAGTGGAGTTCTCAGTGTAGTATGAGCACTTTTACAACCATCCCCGCCATACAATTAGCGGAGAAGAGCGACAACTTCCCTCTCCTTGTGCTCACGATCTACCTCTGACTACCCCTGATACACCCTCCTGCTCCCTGCCTGGCAGTGTCTCCTGCCTCCACCTGTTCCTGCATGACAGTTGCAGTAATGCTTCTAAAACTGCAGTCTTTTGCAACTTCTTAATTTAAATCTGTTGACTTTGCACACAAACCTTCTCCATACTTTCCTATATTTTGCATTCTAAACTGATCTCTTTGATGCTGACATATTACTTTAACCAGACACTTTCATAATCTGAGCAGGATCAGGGCGGAGAAAAGGACGGGGAAAGGATGAAGCTGGCCCTATAGGAGAAAAGATTGCCTCACCCACATGTCATTTAAAAATTGGGCACCTGCTCTTTGGGTCATAAGCTATTTTTTTTTTCCTTTTTTCATGTTTTGACTTATTTCCCCTGAAGAGTGTGCAATATTGTTCCATTTATTTCCGTACTGTTCAAGTGACGATCTCATCAGTCTTTGTTTTGATGACCTTTCTCAAAGAAGAAAAAGCAGGGAATCAAAATCAAATATTCCATATTTACATTACATAAACTTAAATGGAAAACATTGCAGGCATTTGATTATTCTTAATCTACATATACAATGTCCCTTAAAAAAAAAAACAGAAATCCATCATTTTGCAGGAAATGTCCCCATCATGCGTCATTTATATTTATTTATACGTCATTCATCCTGTCATCCCCCCTGTTCTCATCTCTCATATTTCGTGTACGTATATCTCTGCGAAAATTCAAAACAAAAATACCCCTCACGTGGGGCGAGAAGGGAGAGAAAGATGCAATTGCATTTCAAAGCAGAGAAAGGACTGATGACAATGACGGACTTCAGCGTTTATATAACCTGTGGAATCAACAAGTATCTTATACAAAGTTGACAGAAGTTTCGCACTGCACTTGTCATTGTACATAGTCCATGCCGTGGTGGCAAAAACGTGAGTGGTATTTATGTGCTGTAAGTCCTTAAAGTGTTCAGACACTTTTGTGCAATGAGTCCTTCACAGTTTTCAGTCAGGTACGATAATTACGCACGAATGATGACAGCAACAGATGATTATTAAAAGCAAACAAAAGCATCACTACACCAGTCTGAAGTTATCAAGTGTATGGGATCATGTTGGAGCTCGATAAGCCATTAAGTTCCAAATTGCACAGCTTGTACTCGCCATTGTCAGACATGTGGAGAGGCAGCACACCCTGAGTGTCTCCCTGCGTAAAAGAGCGCGTGGCGCAGCCCTTATTGTGAGGAGGAGTGGAGACTCTGAACACCAACCCACTGAGCATCTTCCTGATCTCTGGCCTCATCAGGCAGTAGAGTACCGGGTTCAAGCAGCTGTTTGCGTGCGCCAGGCACACAGTGACAGGAAATACGTACGTGTGCACCATGTAATATGATTTATCCCAGTTTACTGCGTTAAATTTGACCAAAACACCCCAAAATGTGATCGCATGATTTGGCATCCAGCAGAAGAAGAAAGACAAAACCACTATAGCAACAGATTTGGTGATTCTTGTTCTCCGTCTAGGGTTGCTGCTGTCCATGCTCCTCCGCCTCACGAAGCGCAGGAGCATCAAGTAGTTAACAGAGACTATGAGCATGGGGATGATGAAGGCTATCAGTATTTTCTGGATGTGATAGAGCGCAAGCCAATCGTGACCTTCAGGAAACCTGAGCAGGCAGAGTTTCTCCCCGGCCACCACAGTCACTGCGGAGAAGATCGTTGTTGGAGCTGTGGCTGCTGTCGCCGCCACCCACAGCACCACGCACACCCACTTCACACATCGTGAGCTCCTGTAAGTTTTCTTCTTCAGGGACGAGGACACTGACCAGTAGCGGGTCACACTCATGGCTGTGAGGAAGAACACACTCGCGTACATGTTCATCACGGTGACAGAGAGGATGATTTTGCACATGGCGTCACCAAACGGCCAGCTGAAGTCCAGCACGGTGTCCACGGCCCAGAAGGGCAGCGTGAGTACGAACTGAAGTCCGTCACTGCCAAGTTTATGATAAAGAAGTTGAGGCTGGACTTTTTTCGACCTTGTCGTAACCTCATGAGGAAAAACACGAGCAGATTCCCCACCAAGCCCACCGCGCAAACCACTGAGTAAACCACGGAGATGAGGATCCTCAGGATGAAGGCGCCGTCTGCGCTCACATCGATGTCTTCAAAACTAAATTTGTCATAACCAGACCTACTTCTGTTCATCGCTCCGCTGTAGTTAAGTAATTCTTCCATCTTTAAAATGAGGAACCTGTGCGCACAGCTGGGGTTCAACTGAGCGCACAGCAGGCTAGACGGAAACAGAACAGGGATGCTCCATGCCAAAGTGTCTCGGTCAGCCGTGGGTCCACACTCAGTGAGCTGGAGTCTGTTTTTATGCAGGTGTGTCATTTCTATGCTGAGCCACGATTGGTCGATCGAGACGCGGCAGAGAAGCAGACGGTCATAGAAACGAGACTAACGCATTCCAAATACAATGTGACTGGTTCACTGTTGGATCTCCATACAGGTATCAAAATATATCTGTCAGCTTATTGGGTCCGTGATGAACGTGCGTAAAATGCTCCCAACAGGAGTTATCTAAGAAGAAAACAACTTTTAAGATGGGGATTCAAGTAGTTTTCAAGAATTTAGACCTGACAAATGTTCTGTTAAATGTCAGCGATGGATATTTACCAATAGAGGAAGAAAGAAATATTGATAAACAAACCGTAAAAGTAAAATTTAAATCACGTTTCAGAGATCTCTACAGGCCAAATCTTCTAAAGAACATTTCCTACTTCTACTTAGGCTTCGCTTTATTTACCATTTTGTTTCAAATCAGATAAAATAAATTAAACGCAGATGTGTTGAGAAAGTTTCTGAAACTTTTAAAGTAGCCTATCATTACAGCTGCATCATTGCTCTTAAGTGTCTTACATATCCAATAGAGGGCGCGCTAAGCTCAGACTAATCAAGACTAATAATGTAAAAACAATGAAGTTTAGTGACCGTGTGGACTTCATTGTAGACTTGATCAATTGATTTCACCCCCCCCCCCCCCCCACACACACACACACACACACACACACACACACACACACACACACACACACAATTTCCTTATTGGAGAAAAAGGGTCATATTTTTCATCAAATGTTTTTACTTGACTGTGTGTTGGTACAAACTTTCTAACTGATTATTTTTCATACAGGAACCTCAGTGAACTCAATGATTAGGCCTGTAGCATTTCCAGATTCCCACCACATTTTCTCCTGCAGAGGACTCCTTTGTTTATTTTATTTTTTACGCACATTGGAATTTAAAAAAAAACAAAAAACCCTCAGACTGAAACCACATATCTGTACTCGTTTCTCTGACTACACGCGAATGCGCCCATATGTTCAGAGGTCCTCATCTGACCCAGTGCAAACTCGAAGGACCTCACTTTTGGGAGCTACAGCCAGTTTGGACAGAAGCTCCGTATCCACTTTCTTGGAGTAGCATTCCCCTTTAAGCCTGCAGCCCAGCTGAAAGATAGCCCATTGTCTTAAGTCCACCCATCTGTGGGGGTGGCTTTGCGAAAGTTTGCAGAAGAAATGTAGAAGCTGTCACTGACTGTGGGAAGGAGACTGATGGAGGACAGAGGCAGCACAGACGCTAAAATCGACACACGAAGAAGTCAAAAAGCAGAGTTAAAATGCAACGAAAACGCCCCGTGGAAACTGACCATGTTCAGGCCTAACTGAGAAGTTTGCTGGGAGTTGTCACAGTTTGAGTACATGGCCGCAACAAAAGCCAAATGTTCCTCCTGCCCAGATGGAAATGATTTGAATTGACAATCGCCGCTGTGTTAGAAAGTCATTAAATGCTTCTCAAATCCAGGCCACCGTCCTGACAAGATGACCCGTTTGGACTGCGGGCTTCACGCCTCCGGACAAGGACTCTCCTTCATTCCCTTCTTCATCGCACTTCTGCTGGGAAACTGCAAAGCGTTGGGATTATCACATGAACCAGGTTAGTCAAAGGCAAAAACTCCATGATAAAGCCTCGTCCTCTGGTATTGTTTTCTCGTGCACACCAGTTTCAGAGTGCATCTAATGGAGCAGAATGAGGCCAGCAGTCCCCAGAGTGCAGGATATAGGACAGCTGTGACTTGTGTTTACAAAGGTTTGGGCTGACCAATAGCAATTAAACCCATGTTTGCAGTTTAGTCTGCTAGCTGTGGAGAGAGCACTGCTTTGCATTTAATCTTTAAAGGCAAACATCTGCTTAGCCTGGCCTTGGGCCAAAATGAAGAATCTGAGCTGACACTGACCTCTGATCCCAACCGTTTCTACTCTACTGCAGATTGCATACATTTTCATCCCATCAGAGAATTTCCTGTCTTGCAGGATGCACCTCACTTCCCTCCTCTCCCTGCACCTCGTGCTTTAGGTGTTAAAAGTCAGACCTCTCTTGAGGTAACAGATAGGAACAGAAAAGGAGTCAGGACCATAGACTGTAAAAATAACAGGACCCGCTCTGTCTCCTCCTGTCAGCCGTGGTCCCCTCGGAGAAAAAGCGTAGTGCTGCCTGTTGGCCTTTATAAACAAGTTTGTGCCGAAGAGGGGAGGCTGTTGCCAAACAGAAATGATTTCAGGTGATAAGTGTTGGCACAAGAAACTCTAACATTTATTGTCCGGTGTCTGAGAACCCCAAATCGAAAAGATCTTAGCTGTGTCTCTTGTAAATGGACTTGAGCTTGTATTGCACTTTTCTAGTCTTCTGACGTCTATAAACGCTTTTACACCGCAGGTCACACCTACACATTCAAACCCATTTACTCACGTGACGGCAGAGGCTGCTATGTAAAGTGTCCATCAGTATCAACTCGTCCATCCATACACATTCATTCACTGTCGCCAAAGCAGCGGGAGCCACTTGGGGTTGAGTGTCTTGCCCAAGGACTCATGGGACGACTGACTGCCAACTGAGCCGCAGCTGTTATATATATACATTTTAATTTAAAAGAATGTATATAAGGGTTTTAAATTGCTCAATTGTTCTGTCATATTTGGTCCCAAATACTACAATATGTTCATTATTGTTAATGAACTAACAGTATGTAGGAAGAAGGGAAATCAACATTTGAATTCACTTAGAGTGCATAATATTACCGTGATCAGTCGAGCTCATTCGTCTGAGCAGCCACTGCAGCGACCATGGTGGACCTTGACACCACATGTAAACCCCCCTTTAAGCCTTTTAAGTTAGATTTTAAATGAAATTTCACTTCCTTTGTATTCTCATGGAAAAAAAAAATAGTTTGCAGGCTGTAAACAGTTTATGGAACAGTTGCTTGATGAAAAGCTGGACTCAGATCTCTTGGATTAGAACCATCATCTTTGTGTAATTTATTAGTGAAGATGCTGCATGTAATTATTGCGGTGGAGAAAATCCCTCATGATTTTCAAAGTCACAGAATCCTCACACATGAAACTACAAATCACTCAGAGGAGAGAGCTGAACTCCATCAAGGAGATGTGGGCCTATCCATATATAATGAGTAAATATTTTGAATTCCCATGTGGATCCAGATCAACATCGAAAACATTAAATGAAAGACAGCCGTCCTGATTGACTGGTGGCAGCCATATTAATGAAATAGTTCCTCGTATTTTGCATAGTTATAAGTTGATTTGAATTTAAAGTGATTCCTGAGATGTCGCTGAAATATTGAAGGCATTCAGGGATACAGCAGTGTGCATGTTGTAAAATCATTGAGTTGCCTTTCATTCAAGGAGACATTCCAAGCAAACCTCCATCTCATATCTCACTGCACTGATGTGCTACCTGAAAGTATGTGGGACAATCATTTTAGAATGCAGCAAGACCTTTATATTGTTATGTCTCAACGCTGTTTGAAGTCCTTGTTTGAAATCTGCTCCTTTCTCTTTTTTTAAGATTTCTTTTTGGGGGCTCTTTGCCTTTATTCAATAGGACAGTGGATAGAGACAGAAACCAGGGAGAGAGAGTGGGAAAGGAGCCACAGGCCGGACTTGAACCCTGGCCGCCCGCTTTAAGGCCCAACCTACCTGCTAGGCCATCTGCGCCCCAAAATCTTCTCCTTTCTCCTAATGAGAATCAACTGATGATGTCATATTTAGGGTTTGAAAGGTCGCTGTTCTGAGACAGAAATCTACATTTAAAATGCAACGAGGGATTTTTTTTTCTACCGTGAACTAATTAACGTGACAATAGTGTTGTGACACCAGTTTTTATTTTGATGAATTGTTATGCTCTTGCAGATACAAATAGCCATCATACTGTAAGTAGTAGTGATGGGTATATTTAATATTTAATAAGTAATATTCCGGATCTTTGTAGTCTAGTTATTGGTGGAGAGTTCTTGTAGCTCCTCTGTATGAATGATTTCAGTGTGTTGCGTCTTTCTGCTCTATGTCCAAAACTATACTTCAACACTTTCTCCTTCCATAAAGACTAAGCTGATCCACAGAGGAGATGGCAGCAGTGTGACATTTCAGCCTTGAGCTGTGCTTGCTGATGTTTGTAGTTGTAAATAAATCAGGTGTCACAGTATTGCTGATATGATCTGACAAATTATCACAATTAAAAACGACGCAATGTGAGACATTTCAGGCAGTAAGATTTAAACACAGAGGGAAATGTAAAATAAGTTGAACACACTTGACAAAGGTTCAGAAGGACTGAAACATTGGGATTTTTTTCTAATAAATTGGTGATGCTTAGCAAGAGTAGTGTGCGGGATTTCTTTCTTTTCCAGTGACATTTGGTCATCCTACGCACCTCCTTAAAAACTGTGTTTGTGTTGTAGAAATGCACACTTTACATGAATATGACTAATTCAGTGAGATGGACTAAATTTAAAAGCTGCAATGATGCAACTCATTCATGTTCTGGGACAAATGTGCTCCACAGTCATTAGCAATGCTGTGTCAATAAGTCAGCCACATCAAGGCTTCACTATGTATAGAATTAAAGAGCAGACTGTGGGGAATCCCCCCTCTGGAGGAACATTTTCTTCACCCTTGCTCACAAACCGAGTTCTCTGCCACACTTCCTTTCGTGCTGCTGAGTCAACTCTTCCATTTCATTGGATATTAAGAAGCATTATTTTAATCTGAGGGATGATTTCACAGACTTTATCAGAGCTGCTGAGAGTTAAACATGATATAAGAATATTGGACAGGAACCAGTTTGAGGTGATCCATACTGTACATTTATGTTCAATCATAAAAATGACAGATATGTGACACACACATGGGTTTGTTTAGAGCGTCCTCAGTTTGTTTATGACTTTATAGCCACATAATTATTTAATCACCCTCTGCTATCCAATGATTTACTAACCCTTCTCGTCATTCATCTTCTCGTCCTCCCCTTCGCGTTCACAGAGAGATATCTGCAGGATGCTCCTCAGTACGAAGTCGTTCACCCCACTCGAGTGGATGCAAGAGGCCACTTCCTGTCCAACTTCCTGTCTCACCATGTTCGCCGCGTTCAGCGCCGGGAAGCCCCCGAGGGACCGGCGGACTTGGATCGAGTCTTCTACCAGCTGCGGCATGGCGGCAGCAGTTTACACTTTAACCTCACCCTCAACCCAAACCTGCTGGCTCCTGGCTTCCTGACGGAGAGGAGGTACGGTGGCCTGGAGGGCGCAAAGATCAGTCCTCCTGGATCCTCGCAGTGCCATTACTTAGGTGAAGTGTCGGATGAGGGATCTGTTAGAGGGAGGGCTGCAATAAGCACCTGTGATGGACTGGTAAGTACCTTTTTTTTTAAAGCTTGATTTCATTGGAAAATGTTCTAAAATAAATGTAGTTGTAAAAGCAGATGTGTCAAATGCTGAAGATTAAAATAATACTCCTTAATTTCCTATGATCTGGAAAAGCAGTAGCATGGTATTTAGAGCTGAGGAATATGGATGTTGTGTAAAAAGACGTTCAGTTTTATCTGAAAACTTACTGGTGCTGTAGAGCTGCACAACCTGAGAAGATTTTCTACAAAAGAAGATGTTTACAGTGTGACATTTTGTTGAAAACACAAACTTTCCCTTTTTGTATTTATATTTATGCTAATAATAACCTTTTATTTGTCAAGCTGTTTTTCTAACCTTATGTTACAAAAGTGCGTCACTCAAATGAAATGTAGCACATAGAGCAAAGACCAGAAGACAGGCAATCATTAAAACAAGCCAACTAAAACAGGTGAAATCAGTAAATCCTGTTTAATCAGAGCTTCACTAACAATAGGGAGGTCAACAAACTCAAGTTAAATCAAGGAAAAAGCTCTATGATAAAAGTATGTTTCAAGAAAAGACTTCACTTCCAAGAAATGAATCACATTTATGGACTGTACTGGTATAGCACTGCTCTAGTCTTTTCACCCCTTCATTCACAGTCAGTACTAATTATCCCATTCTTACACATTCACACACTGCTGGCTATGCCGCCAAGGCGCAATTTTGGGTGTTCAGTGTCTTGCCTGAGGACCCTCGATATGTGGAGTCAGGCAGCAAACCGCCAACCTGTTGGTTGAAGCTCGATGCGAAGGCAACTGGACTTGTTTGAAGATCTTGGAGACGTTTCTCCTCTCCTGAGAGCATCAAATTTATCATGACCTGGATGACTGAGAATCTACTCAGACGTCGCGCCAACCTTTTGATTTAGAGACAACAACTATACCGCTGAGCCACAGCTGCCTTCACTGGATTCACACACATTCAACACATGTTCAATACCATCTTTAGGCTTTGCAGTAAACATTTGTTCCACTTTCTTTGAATCCTGTACCTGTTAAGCTGAAGAGCTAAGTGGTATTCCTCTCAGTGCACTGGCATGCTCACAGCAGGTATCCAACTTCAGGCTAGGATCTACGTATTCATTATTTAAACACTGTTGGTTTGAAAATGCAGCCCGGAGTCCATTCTCTGCTTACTCTTTCGGATGGTTGGTTTTAGCTTTCAAACTTTAGAATGCTAAAGGATATGTTAGGAGATTGAGAGATATTCCACCTGAAACCTTTTTAGTTTGTCACAGACTCATCGCTTAATACTGCCCCATATTGGGTCCCATAACTATCTAGAATTGTCCTGTGCACTTCAAATGTATTAAGCAGAAGTAATCCTGATAAATAGGTCAGATGTGTAAGATGTTCTTGACTGTTCCTCATATCCTCTAACCCAACACCTTATTTAGGTGTGTTGTTATAATTAAAAGCACTTGCCTGTGATTGTGAGAAGCCATTTATGATATCGATATCAAAGCGTTGTGAAACTCAGTGACCATTTTGAAATGAATCATTTTTTGATGACAGATATTGTGCTTCATCTTCTGATTCTGGATCAACTCAGACATATAAAAAAAACGTAGAAATGCTGTTTCTGTCCACTTTTCTGTTTGTAGAGCCTGAGCTGAAATTAAAATGATGGCGATGTCAGTCAAAAGTTGTCACACACACACACACACACACACACACACACACACACACACACACACACACACATACAGACCTCAGAAATGGTTTACACATCATCAACATCAGATTTTTAGAACTGTGTTTTCTATTGGTCATGAAGCTCTTTTCATCCAGATTTTGTTAATACATTTAACCTTTTCAAGTCAGATTTCTACAAGCTTTAATTGGGAGCTATACTTTTAGCATTACCCTCATTTCACATAGACTGTTGAGGACAGAGAACACTTTCTGTCTCCTGTGGACAGTTGAGGTAGAGGAAACATCCATTTGCAAAGGAGGAGACATTTGGAAGAAGCTTTAAAAGTTCAGATTATTTAGAATATGAGTTCTTTTAGTTGAAAGGGCCAGTTCTCTAACCCACAATGCAACCTGAATACTGACGGTTATTTTTGAGATTCTGGTGTTTTATATAAGTGGCAGCATTTGTAGCCTGCAGCTGTAGCCCCCCCCCCCCAGAGACAAGGAGCCAACACCTGTAAACACACTTTCAAATGTTTCCCTCAGAGGTGCTTCCAAGGTTGAAATCACATTCAGAGTACTTACAGTCTCCACTAGGATAAAATGCAATATCAATGCATGAATCTGTTTGATGTTTATAACGTTCAGTTATTTTGAAAATGAAATGTTTTGTTAGGCAAGCTATTTCAAGTAAGTGGATCAAATTCCCAGAGAGAAAATCCCCCTTCAATGTTTTAGCTCAAAATCAGGTTGCACACTTAACTCACCTGCATACTTGAGTCCTGTGGGTAATTTATCAAATGGCTTAATGGCCCACTGCACTTGAAGTAAACAAACATTGACTGAGGCACATAAGAAGGAATTGTACAATTAAGGTCTGCTCTGCAATTCCATGCACAAACAACCTGCATGGTTTGAGTTTTGACTCCAGCAATATGCTGGAAAACACATTGGAGATTTTGGATCATGCATTCTTTAAAGCATCATGAACTTCTTGCAAATTTAACCAGCGAATACATCCTGGAAACTGTGCTGAGAGAGAAAGATCACTGGTCTGTAATAAGATGATCGGAGTAGAGTTACTTTATACATCTTAAAAATAATTCGTAAACTCAAACAGAAAGATGTTAATGCTGTCCTTGGATTCATGTTGTATAAGACCTATTCTTCCCACACTAGCTACACTTCAAAAAAGGCTCATAGAAAAAACGGGGACAGTATCCGTTGTCACCCTTTCTCAAGGCACAATCTCCTGCTGCTTAATCCTCCATGCTCCAAGGTTATTCAGTGTGTGTGCAGATATTCCATTTGTGCTCACCACTTTTGTAACACATCCACTGTAAAAAAAATTATGTTATTTTTACGAGAAAAAAACTGGCAGCTGTGGTTGCCAGAATAATTCAGTAAAAAATACAGTCAAAATGTAACCTATTTTACAGGACAACCTGTAAATTATACAGTTTTAAACTGTTATGATTTACAAAAAAATACAATTTAAACTAGTAAATCCAACAGCCATTTTCTGCTGAATTAGCATAAATATGCAGCTATTTAATTGAATTGACGTTAACTGTACATCAAATCTCATTCAACTTTACTGAAAAATACTAAATAAACAACATTGTTTCGATGTAAAAAAAATCTGAATAAAAATGTAATTTAACTGAATTTTTCTGCATATTTAACTCAAATATTGATTCAAGTATAGTGTATAGTGTATATTTTACAGTGAAAGCAACAGCTTTATATCATCACTGAATTTCCTTTAAATGAATCCATTACATTTTAAAAAGCATAAAATCCATCTTCTGTTAAGTTTATCTGATATCAAAAGCAAGTTATACCCTTTGAGTCACTGTGCTGAGATAAAAAAAAACAAAAATGACATGTCTCTACAGAAGTTTATTAACTTCAAGCAGTGAACAAAATAATCTGTCCTTACTCAAGATACATATCATATTATCTTACAAACATTTGAACCGAGTATGACAGGTAAGTGAACCTTCCTCCATAAATGTCTTAAGGACAATAAAGGAGCATGAGTTTACTCTCAAATGTACGTATTTGAAAATGTCATTGTTAACACTATAAGTCATCATCATTAAGTCGTCATTGTTTTATGACTTTAACATTTCAAATAATCAGTAGAAATGCCACACACAAAAAATATTTGCTTGTTACTATTATTTCTCAGCTGTTTCTTGACATTCAAGACAGATTGAACACTTCTTGGGCCATTTCATGTGAACTCTAAGGCCTTTTAACAGAGTTTACCAAAAATGTACAAAATTTAACCAAGAGTGCACAGGTTAAGCATTTGAAAATGTAAAGTCAACGCAAGACATACCTTAACATACCTTACCTTACTGTATTAAGACAAGAAAATCTAGAAACCTTGCTTTTTTCAACAAAAATATTATCCTCGAAGCAGTGAACAAATTAATCTGTCCATATTCATAAGACATCACATTTTTTCAACAAGTACCTTACAAATATTAAGATACAGAGCGTGCGACAGATTTGGGATAATCTTATTGGAACTGAAACATAGAGAAAGCAAGAAGAGGAAAAAGACTCCTCTTATTAAATGCCTAAAGGACAATCAAGTTGTCTTGTTTTTGCTTGGGTTTTATTTTTATGGCTCTCTGTAATTATTTTAACTCTTAAAGGTTAAATCATTTCCTCATTAGCATGTATTTTCTAGTATCCTCAAACTAGTTCCTTCACATTGAGTAAGAAAGGCTTGTAAATGACACGAACAAGAAAAATACAAACTCTAAACTCTATAACAACAAAGAGGCAAAGCAAACCTTCAAACTGTCAGTGGGACACATGACGTGCCACAAATCTTAATCAGTTAAGTCCATGTTCAGACATCACGCCACTCATGACCTGAAAGTTCCTGAATCAAGGTGATGACTCGAGACGAGCTTCACATGAAGACGGGATGTGCTCGTCTTCTCCACTTTGGTGCCCTTCTCTGGGTTGATGGAGAAAAAAATCTATGAAAATAAGAGAAAAACAGACAACTTTTAATAAAACAAGTAATCCAAACCCGAGTTACTACTGCAGTAACTTACGATTCATACAGTATATTAGTTCACATGAGTAAAACAAGTCAAATCAAAAAGGACATACCTCTGCAGAAACTCCAGGGTTGATGCCAGCGCTGACGGGTAATGGATATTAAAGCAATAATAGCTCCCAAACAGCATGCACAGGGCAGACACGAAGAAGGGGATGTTGTCATGTACAATGTTTTGATCCACACTCAGCATGAACCGTCTTGAAGAAAAGCAGGATTGTCCTAAATAAAAGAAAAAAAAC